CTTCAGAAGAAAGGAAAACATTTAAGAAGCACTAAAGACACAATTGGCACATGAACATCCTTCACTTAGAGCTCCTATGCTTCTTCTAAACATGATAAACTGATTTGGAAGGCCATTTCACTTATGGATAATTATGTCATAATTCCGCTTAATGGAAACTAGTTCATGATAACGTGAAACTTTTGATTTCACAGCAATGGGAATATAAAAAATAATAAATGATAACACAAAAATGAATTTTACAAGGAAAATACACCGCAACAGATGCATATGCAAGTTCTTCAAATATTATAACTCATGAACACACACCCATAACTTTGATAAAATTCTACTAAAGCATCTTCCTAGCAGATACAAATCCTGAAAAGGTTTTCATGTTACATAGAATGGAAGTTACCAACCAAGAAAAACAAACTTCTTCTCGTACCTCTTGTGTGTCTCTGCTATTAGTTACAGGCTTATTTTCGTTGTTCTCTAATATGATGTGTCGGAGGCTAGAATTTGGCACATCTTTGATTATGTGCCACTTCACAGGGAAGCTGCCAGACCACTTATCTTGCTGCCAAAAATTCATATCCTTGTCAAAATCAACAGGGCCAACCATCTCAGCAAGGCCACAAAACTGCCCACTTGCATTGACCTGTACATGAATTTATGTCTGATCAAGAAAATGTCATCCTATAATCTGCAAAAAGGTAAAGATTAACTCAAAAGTGCAATTGTTGAAAAGACAAATCACTCACAGAAAAGAAAAGAAAGACGGGGCACTTTCTTGGTCTGCCTACAGATTTGCTTTGTGCATCTTCATAGGCACCATCAAGTCTTCTGTTCCCATTATGAGTGCTTGACCATACATTATACTTGATACTCTTATGCACATCATCCTCGCTGTAAGATTTAATTACAAAGAACCTTGCATCTGGATAGTCAACAGGGAAATCATCCTTATTATAGTGGTCAGGGTCAATAATAATGCATCCTCCTTGACCATCACTAGCACTTTTTTGGATCGATTCAGATGACTCAAGACCTGATAAAGAAAACTGATCCTTAGGCCTGTTTGTTCTTGGTCCCTTATTCTGTTCAGCTAAAACATCTGGGTTCCTGCCAGCATCAATAGCAATGCCTTGAAACTGTGGTCCTCGTCTCTGCTCATCCCAACCAGTCAACCCAAGAACATTGGACCCACGATTTGTTAAGCCACTGTTGGATGGTGCAGCAACTTTTACATAATTCTGGATGGAAGGAACCCTTCCATGTGAAAACTGATATGTAGATTGCATCAGATCGGGTCCTACACCCTAAAAGATAAACACGATGATACACAAGTCATGTTTTAGAACATCCAAGCATCAAGTGATCAACAGGCAGAGCACAATTAGTAACCAGAAAAGTGAACTGAAAAGGGCTATAAACCACAAATGCACACAAAGAAATAGGTGCCACAACTAAGAAGATTAGATAGAAAATACAACATTTCAAAATGCAAACAGCATTAATTATACCTGATGCCCATGAGTGCCGCTACCATACATCACAGCTTCCTGCAATGCAAACTGATTGCTTGGTGGAATGTTGATTTGTGACCCTTCAAATGGTTTGGCTGCAGCTTGATTCTTATGTGATGGGTGAGATTCATCTGACATGACGAATGGAGTCATAGAAGCTGCTAGTCGAGAAGAGGCAGCTGCACTGACAGATGCTTGTGGAGGTGTATTTTTGACACCTGCATTAACAGGTCTAGTAGCAATTGCGCCAGCACCAAGAAAGGCGGGATCAATAGTGTTATTAGTCATAAAATCTGGACTAGGTTGTACGATAACTGGAATATAAGCAGGTGAAGAAATAGGAGGCCTGTATGAAGGAATGTTCATATACTGTTGAGCTCCTACATATGGGCCATCTAGACCCGTGACAGCACTGGGTATGTAAGGAGTACACTGGTTAAAGGGAGACTGAGCATATCCGTAGCCTGGTGTGTAATACACATAAGGAACATTTTCAGCTTGAAGACCCTGCAAGAAAAAGAAAAAATTTTACCAATGGCACTAACAAAAAAATCATTTCCTATCGTCAAATTACTTAAATTCAGATGTACCATGTAATGCATATCATGACCATCTAACCCAAAAATACTATGGTGGTCGCCCCATTCACCAGGTGATTCATATCCTGGATAAATATAGTAAACAAATTAGAAATAGCTCGCCTAAAGTTCTTTAATTGCCTTATATTTACGCATGTAAAACCAGCAAACTGAAACTTACCTGTACAAAGATAACCATAACTGTCGGCAGCAGAATAGCTCAGTCCTTGGTCAAAAACATATTCTGGTGGCAGTTGGTTACCCATAAGCTCAATCCCAACCGGAGGAGGAACGATAGCCATATTTGGTATAGACCCAACACCGGACATCTGAAATTAAAATGAGAGAATAAGTCCTCGTTTGAAATGAAATCCACATAAACTATAAGTGTTGTACCATTATGATCTCCATAGCATAAGAATTAGATCTTATAAATGCCACCTCAAAAGAACCGCTCACAGACAATGACAACAGTGTAATCACACATGAAATTGCCTAGTGTAAGCCACAACTTCAATGGGCAGGAAAAATGCAATGTTTGATCATCCAATTTGATGCAAGTGTGACAGGATAAACAACAAATGCTAGCTATCAAACCACAAGAATACCATGTATGTCTCTGCAGTTCCAGGTTCAGAACCAGTACGCATCTTCTCTCCAGAACAGCCACCCCTGCAAAGAGCAAAATAGGAAAAAAAATGAATGAAAATACATTCATCAATGGTACCAAGTGTGTCAAAATACCCCAAGATCAAGTACACTACACTAATACACTTAAGAACGGGCACCAAAATGCCAAGATGCAATGTGAAAATCCTATTATATATCATAAATTAACCACGTAAGGTATCGTATGTCCAATCGTGAACAATTTTGGGTACTGGAGAAGGGCCCATCTGATCCAGATGAATGAAGCACGACAACAGGAGAGATCAATCGGTCAATAGGAGGTGCACGAAGATACAAGAAATTCAAAAAAAAGGAAAGAAAGACATTTTGACTTCGAAATGATATTGGCATGTTAATTTCACCAGACGCAGTCTCCCATTAACCAAGACAAACTTAACAGGTAAAAAATTGAGCCAATTAAACACACACAAGCAACTTAAAACAAGTTCTAGAGAGATTCCTATCATAGCGTAACAGAGGAAAAAAATCTATCGAAGTTGGTAAAGAACTAGAAAACCCTACAAAATCTTACAAAGAAGTCCAAGAACTCCCATCGAGACAGGCCTAATAAGATCAAAGCTAGGACTTGAAGATTACCGCAGACTAGGAAGAAGAGGAAAAGAAGGGGGCTTACAAGAGACGGAAATGGAAACCAATCTCAAGCCATCCGCGACCGGGCGAGCACCGGAAGAGGGAGGAGGAGAGGGGCGACAAGCGAAGAGAGGAATTTTTCGACACGCGCAGCGATCGCCGGCACCATAATTCGGTCCAATTCTCGTGCAGAGAAGCGCCTCGCAGAAACCCTAACCCTAGCGAGAGGGCTCCCAACAAAGCTAAATAACAAGCAGCGTTACGAGAGAGAGAACGAGGACGAGATTCCCAAACGAGGAAGGCGTTGCCAAGAGGGTATTCCACAACGATTGAATGACGTAAATATCCCCGTTTCTGCTTCCTTTCAACATTGATTGATGTGTGGTTGAGGTGCGAATAGATCGCACGATTAGGGGCAACGATGGAAACATACCAATAATAAACCAAAATGGAAGGTTCTTCGTGATCAAAGATATCATCTGTGATGAAACGAATATCAAAGCATGATTACATGCTCTAAAGCATGATAAAGACACCTTTATATTTTTGGATATATATAAGTTATATTTGGAAGGTATTCTTTTGATAAGAAAGCTCGAATTATAATTGATGTATGAAATGACATAATTATCCCCCTCTTTCCCTTCGTTTCATCAGGGATTGATATTAAGCACTTAGTTGCAAATGTTTTGCCCAATGAGGGGTAAGGATGGAATCATGACAAGAATAAAAACAGAATAAGAAGCTTTTCGTGATCAAAACCACCATCTAGATGGAAACGAATGTTAAAGCAGTATAACAAACTATATACATGATGACGCTACCTGTGAAACTTTTGGATCTATGATATAATATATATATATATATATATATATATATATATATATATATATTGAAGTATTAGAATGGTTAGTACATAAGTCTTATATTCAAATCGAATACCTTATATATATAGTTTAATATAATATAAATTATTTTTCAGGAAAAAAAGGGGCAACAATTAGGGAAAATCCATATATATATATATATATATATATATATATCATTGAATTTGATTATTTGACTATCATGCATATACCAAATTTCTACGTAAAATTTGTTCAAGTAAAAGGTAGAAATATGCATAAATACCAATCCAAATTGAATTTTAGGTGAATGTAAATGTGACATATGAATCTAGAATCACATGAGATAATTAATTAAAATTTTAAATTCAAATATCATTTTTGAATAAAATATTTTTTAAAAGAATTTGTAAAATGGGAAGATAAACAAAAAATATATGCATAAATGAATCAATAAAATACTGTTTTATATTAATTATTGCTATATTTTAAAATGTTTTCATATTTTCTTATAATACATAAACATTAATTAAATCAAATTAGATATCAAATATCTATGAAAAAATAATGACATTTAATATAATCCCTGTCATGTTGTTGTAATTCATAGACAAAATTAATTTGGAATTTCCAAATAGGAATCAGAATCCAAACGCCGGTCTCCTTAATCTATCAAGCCATCTGTAATCTACTTGTCTCATGATCCAGATGATCTCACTTTGAGATCCGTGTCGAGCATGATGGAGGGTAGTTTGGTTATTATGTTGTAACCATAAGGTCATTTAATTGTCTGATCGGGTAGCAAGAAAGAGGGTTTCGATGACTAACTGGCCACGAAGCCTCGTCTGTTCTGCTCGCATGCGACTCGATCGCCGAGACCGCCGGAAGGGATCGAGAATCCCCCTCTTGTGATGGATCCAGTTCAGGTAATCCCCTTTCCCCCCACCAACACAGAAGCCTAATCACGTCTCGCTTCTTTATCAACGATGGGTTCCTTCGCCCAGCAGCATTTCCCCCATCTTTTCTCTTGGAATCAGATCGATCCGATCGTCCCACTCCTTTTTGTTTTTCCTGAGACGCCGTTCGATCCAAAGTTTTTTCTTTGCGATTGAATTAAGCAGGGAAGCTGGGTTCTTGCGGTACTTGGGATCTACACCCAAGATCTAGATTCGCTTTCTTGGGGGAGAGGCCTTAATATTAATCTTTTATGCCCTAAGATTTTAGTTCAGCGGTTCTTCATTACGACTTGATATATGTCTTGATGCGGTATGCATGCCCTTTTGTTTGCAGCCTACAGGGGAAAACTACGCCAATCCAAAGACTTGCCTTTTCCATGTTCTTTTCAAGGTGTGTTCTTTGTTGTTGGATATACTTTTTTCTTGTGCCACTTTGGCAGATCCAAGTTCTAATCTTTCTCGCTTTTTGGGATATTGACAGGCTGCGGCGTTGGCTTTCTACATACTCTCGGCGATCTTCATTGACAGTTTTGTGATCATTTTTGTGGTCACTGTCTTTCTTGCGGCTCTTGATTTCTGGGTCGTCAAGAATGTCAGCGGGAGGATTTTGGTTGGGCTGAGGTGGTGGAACGAGATTGACGAGCAGGGAGAGAGCATCTGGAAGTTTGAGTGCTTGGATCAGGAGGTTCTCGCTTTCTCCGTTTTACTTGAGAGTTATCTGATGAATTAATTTATTGGTCACTTGTGAACTCGACCATTTTTTGGGCATTATGTGAACTCTGATCCAATGTCTTTGGTTCTCTATCATTCTAGTCTCTTGCGCGTATGAATAAGAAGGATTCATGGCTCTTTTGGTGGACGCTTTATCTCACGGTAAGTCATTTAATTCATGCTAATTGTGTATGCAAATAACTCTCATACTTAGGACCAATCTTTGACTGAAAATGTTTCTATCACTTGCATTTATATGCTGGCCCTTGTTTCTCTATAATCACTTTTTCTTATGAACGTGAAACAGGCGCTATTTGTTATCATTTCTTGCGAGATCCTTACCTGGGTCACTTTTTCCGGTTACAAAGTTAGCCAGCTAAATTATTAACTATACACATATGGGCATGCTTGCTGGCATGGTAATTATACACATATGGCAACATGTATGTGGATGCCACTAAAACCATCATTTATCGACTATTGTTTATTTACTAAAATACATGGATAGGCACTTCTATACATTGGATGTGATGGTGCACAGGTACATAGGAATGCCTGTGGTTAGCTATCAACATCTTAACCTACAGATAGGTGTGTAAACTGAAGCTACAAGGAAGATAAATTATTAACTGTAGAAACAATAACCATCAAGACACATAATATTTCATATTTACAGTAATATTGCCTCTTATCTTTACATTGTGATGCATGTGTTCTACCTCATCTCCCTAAATATTTTTTACTATTGTTATGATAGATAAAATCACTTGAAGAACATATGCATGTTGCATAAGTAGTTTTGAAATGACTGTGGTCTCAAAGTGAATTGAACATAAGGCTAGCACTAACATAGAAGATTATCTTTTCTCTGAATTGAACATTACCAAAGAAGATACATAAATGCTTCAGTGAAGTATGGTGAATCAATTTGAATTAGAGGTGTCATGCAACAAACATAATATAAGAAGATCCATAAATTCATCCATGAGGTAGGGTGAATCATATCAGATTAGAGGTTGAGAAATACACGAAGATCAAAGACAGAAAGGCCTGGTTAGCAATGATAAAAGGGAACATGAAAAAGTAGGCAAATGAAACTGTAGTACTCCGTAGTACTTTACTGAATAGTGCCACTTTTTCTATACACGTTGGCACTTTCCCGACATATTCATTGTTAAGATAGGCAAATGAAGAGGCAAGGACATAGCATAACACCCCGTGGTTTGGTTGGTCAGCAGCCATTCCAATCGTCTGTCTTATTTGTAACATAGGAAATAATCAATGGGGGCATTTTTCTTAATTAAAACTTGAATAGATCTTTAATATGGAGGCCATTGGATCACATTAAAAAGACAGGCAAATGTTTCCTATTGTTCAGACTAACAAGTATTTTTTAGAATTTGGGAGTTATCTCATGTTTCCCTGAATATCCACTTGTGTGATTTTTAATGTTTAAAGTTTTATCTGGTCATATGATTATTATCCCTACCCCTCATGCAATCTGGGATGGCATGCTCCTCTCTGATCTTTGAGAATTCTTTGCTCACTTTTACTACACCTTAAGTTATCCTTTATGGATTAGCATCTGCATAGCCATACCTTTGATATATTGGTAAATTACATTATCAGTTCTCTTAAAGTACGTTCTTCAAAATGCAGGCTGTTGCATGGATTTTTCTTGGTATATTCTCACTTATAAGGTTCCAGGCAGATTATCTACTGGTTGTGGGAGTTTGTTTAACCCTCAGCATTGCGAATATTGTTGGCTTCACTAAATGCCGTAAAGGTATGTGAGCTCAAATTACTTTTAACATTTTGTGCTTTAGAGTTTTGATCTCACTAAATATTACTTTATGATGAGCATACTACATTTTATGATTTTTGCTGAGTTTTGTTAAAAGCATCCAATAATTTAATCCGTAGTAAAAGTTAAACTATAGAAATTATATTTGACATTTACGAGGCTTCTCTATTTCCATGCTAGTTTGAGTTTGATGGTCCATAAAATTCTACTAAAATTAAAAATGATTAAGCATGTTCATTGGCTTAGTGAAACTTCACCAAAGACAACTGGAACGCTTGTTTTGCATTATAGTATTTCTTATAATTATCAATCAGTATTTTATGTTATATGTTGCTCAAGATTTCACATCATTGTTGGATAGATCAATGACTCCTATATTCATAACAGGTTCCTTTCTGCTTTCTTAAATAGTTTCTTTTTCTACTGTGCTGTTACTATCTCCATGTACTTTAATGATTTACTGAAATGAGAACGTTTTCTCCTCTGTCCTCTTAACCCTCTGTCTGTAAGCCCAACATTTTGGCAATCCCTATCAGCAAGATGGCAAAATACTTGACTGCAACAGGAAAATTCTTTAAATTGTCATCTAATTTCTGTTTGTTTGAAGACATTGTGCATTACATACTTCTCTGGAATTCTTCTCATGTCACACATTTTATGTAACATATTCCATCTATACTCATAGAAACTATGTACAATGTACATTAACATGTTGCAGAATTATATTACAGCATCATGACTGTCATTGTTTATTGCACACTACAATGTTTGAGATATGTTATTCTGTCTCTATATCAGCAAATATTTAATATTGATTTTTCTCTTATATTTCTTTACATAAACCTCATTTGTTCCTGTTCTGTGCTCCAGATGCCAAGAAACAGATCCAACAATTTGCCACTCAGACCATCGCTTCGCGCTTCACATCATCCTTGCAGTCAGCATTCAGTGTTGTCTGAAATAACATCGGATAAAGAATTATGCCAGAGGATGTCGTGTTTGTTAAACAAACAAATTTGTTCTTTTTCTTAAACTCTGTAGGCTATCAGAAAACAACTTAATTGTCTGTATCTTAGTTCCCCACAGTGCTTTCCTTCAATATTAAGTAGTATACAGTGTGTTACAACAGTCTGGTGCTTTGCAAATAAAGGAAAATGAGATTGGAAATCTAACTCTGCATCAATTATCACTCTTCATGGATGCTTACATGGTTTAATTTTCTGACCACAGCTTAACGTGATTGTGAAGTGCTGTTCCTGCCACTCTCCTATGCCAAGTGCCAAAATATATAGTGAGAAATATTTTATCTAGAGATCAGAAATTTGAGTCTCTTGTAAATGTCTGGTATGCTTATCATGCAATATTACCTTTGATCCAATGAGTAAAAACTTTGGAAAGACAAAACAAAATTATCAGTCACCAGAACCACCATCATCAGTATTTGCTGGTGATTCATGGATACTCTCAAGAGGTAAAAAGGAAACTTTGGATTTTTAGGATTGATCACTTAGATGAATTTAAACATTTTTTTTAGGTTTATTGGATTAATGTTTTATTTCTTGAATGAAATTTATAATCGGGCTATGGTCATAAATTTCTTTCAAGTCTGCATAGCTATTTAATTTCTTTTTTTTTTTTGGCAATAAAGGAGATTCAGTCCACAATATGGTCTCTGAAGGCCACCACCCAAAATGGACTCCCGGTGATGATTTTTACCATCCTCGAGACACTCCCTGTGAGTCATGGACGAAATTGCTGAGAAATCCTTCCAGCAAGCTTTGGGCTTCACACATAATGACTGATCTAAACCTCATTACTAAATACAATGCTTAATCCTCCTCACAAACATAGTGTTGGTGGTGGAGATCATTAAAGAACAAAGGAGGGACCCTCATATCTTGCTATGAACGGGGAAATGCAGGTCAAGGAGATGAGCAAGACCTGCAACAATAATTTGCAGCCGAGAGGCATGCATGCAGAGATCACTTCATCCGGTTGCGCCGTCACTGTCGTCTCAAGAAGGATCGGCACATCGATTCCTTACTCCCCTTCTCTTTCCAACACAAAACCCAACATCACGAGTAATGAGCTTTCTCTATTCTCTTCCTCCTTACTCTTCTTCTCACGGATCAGCATCACTCGGAGAAGGACCTGTCTCTTTCCCTCTCTTTCACTTTCTCCACCTTTCTATCCCTTTCTATCTACCACAATCAAGTCACAGTGCTTTTTCTCCGACGATAGAGAGTGAGTGCTATTATAGAGTTTTGTTGAGAAGGAGAAAAAACAAAATTCATCCTATATTAATAAATAAAAATATATCAGAAACTTGTAAAATTAATGTGATTTAATAAATCTCATCTATATCTACGAAGAAAATTAACCATATGAGATCAATTACAAGATCTTTTGCACGATAATTCTCTTTAGAAACAAAGTATTTCTTTAGACATCCGAGAGAAAAACCTAAATTTTTCCATAAGAATCAAGAAATATCTGAGATATTTATAGAAAAATTAAATCTTTTTTTTTCATGATAATTTCTTTATTAGGATTCCTTTAATAATGAAATGAAGCATGTACTGATGTAGGAATTGTGTGCTGAGACAAAGTTTGGGTTTGCCATCTGAAGAACTAGTAGTGCTTCGTCTCCTTGTATCTGTTGTGTGGATGACACAGTAACCCTCACTTCCCCTTAGAAATCCATATCCTTCAGTGCCACCAACACTGATGAAGATAAATCAAAGGGTGATAGGTGCCACCGGGCAATCTAAGAACTCACATCCTCTCATCAACTATATTCCTCCATCTTTTGGCTCCGCTGCAGCTGCGCTTCCCACTTGAATCATCTTCCCCATCTTTCTCACCATCATTGACTCACCCAGTATGGACTACAGCAATCTCCGATGGTGGTGGTGAGGACTAAAAGGAGAAGAAGTTGCTCAAGTACCTGCCATTTGGAATGCAATCTCCCTTCTTTACATATGTATATGCAGCTCTTAGACTTGGACACATCTCAAGGACTAATAGCTCACAGAAAACTTGGCCATTCAAACAACTTAGATGGGTGCCATGTATGCTCCTTCATGCAACTCCATTATTCCAATAAGGACACACTATGAGGGAAGTGGGGAATGAGAAGGATAGCTGTACTTGTTCCACACTTTTTCTTTTGCTTTCTGGGATGAGATAAGTAGAAAGATGGAAAAAGGAAGATGAGATAGAGCCACCCTCCTCTTCATGGTACAATCATATCATTAAACTAGTAAGCTTGTAGTAATCCTTGCCTTTTGGTGCAAGAACATGCATCATTAGAGACGTCCCTCCTTTCTCAAAAACATGCATCAGTGGTGGAGAGTTAAGAGAACAAAAGGTTCATGTCTAGCTTTTCCCAAGTAGTAAGCAATGGCAACATGCAACACAAATGGCAAGCACTGGTGTCATCTTTGTTGTTGTTAGGGTTTTCAGTGTCATTATTGATGTTTGCACCTAAGACCTTAGGTAACTTGAGCTCCTCGCAATCCTAATCACTTTCAAATGGGGGTGCTTTGCTGTTTGATCTCTAACTCTCCACCACTCATACATGTAACCTAATTCCAGAAGCACAAGGATGAATTCACCTCAACATCTCCATAAGAGATGACTGTCCAAATTGGATGTCAAATCATAAGCTGAACTCCCCACCAAAATAGATATACTGCTTTGACTCTGTATCCATACTGGTCAAACTAATCACTCGAGCATGCAGATTGTTGGATGCATTCGAGCCAATCATGCTCATCACCAGCAGGCTGAAGTCACAGCAGGGACCCATGGCCAGTCTAACTCCGGACACTCGATGACAAGTATGTCTCACCCACACGCATTTGAAGTCAAAAGACTGACAGCGAAGAGAAACGAGGAGGCATTATCCGCATAAGGATGTTTTGGTCAAAGAAGCTTCTTCATCTGAGAACAACCGCAGTCAAAGTTCCCACAAGTTGAAGCAAACTAATAGCACACGTTGCCTCGCCCATGGAATCACCCTTCTTCTTTATTTGGGTTACACGAAGCAGACGCATGTGGGGATCTCCCGGAGAAGCTTGTTTGGCTCTCAGCCACTGGTTCCCTTCGGAAGCTGCAAGATTGCAGAGAATAAATGTCTCTTTTAAATGCAGTCTGAGCCACTAATCTCACACTTGACACTGAACAGCAATCCTCTATTTGTTTGTCATGGTTTCCTTCACCAGATTAAATTGAAAGCACTGAAGCTACACCTTTCTATCACATGATGAAGTAATGCTCAAGCAGCAGCAGCAGAGTTCTTCCAGAAGAACTACTAAGAACAGTCTTGTCTTGTTGTACAGGAAGGTGGTAGTCTACCTTACTGCATTCGACAAAAGAGAAAGGGAAGAAAGCGAGTAATGGTATCAAATGTAGACCATAGCATCATTGAATCATCGAAAAATCCAAATCAATCTCTTGATGAGGAGTCTGACCATGCCAGGGTGCAGGGCATCAAGCTGATCCACTTGCAGTGCCACATATTAGAGGACAGATGTGAGACAAAGAAAAGTCAAACTTAGAAGCCGGTCTCGCGCTGTTTGATTTAGTTTAAAGCCCCTACTTTTGGCTTTTGGTAGCCTATACGACTCCTGTTTCTTTGACGCCACCCTCTATAAGAAGCTTACCTACGCATCGAACGAGTCCAGCGCCAGTGATCTACACTTCTAATTCCATAAGAGCTCGGTTTCAGGACACTCGACGAGTCATGGAGTTCAATGGAAGGGCCCGTGGTGAGGACGAGGTGGAGCTGAGGAAAGGATCTTGGACCGTGGAAGAAGACCTTCTGCTGGTGAACTATGTCGCGGAGCACGGCGAGGGCCGATGGGATTCACTAGCTCGAGAAGCAGGTAGAGAGAATCCTGTCAGTACTCTATGATCGATTCTTTTCGTCCAACAGTTTGTTCATGGTGCTAATTGCTCTGTTTCTGCGTGTTGCAGGTCTCAAAAGGACAGGAAAGAGCTGCCGGCTCCGATGGCTCAACTACCTCCGCCCCGATCTCCGCCGTGGGAACATAACCCCGGAGGAGCAACTTCTCATCCTCGAGCTTCACTCTCGTTGGGGAAACCGGTGAGCTGCCATCTTCACGGGATCTCCCGACAACCATGTTTTTCCTCTTAGCTTATTCCTGAACAGAGCGCCATGGCTTTCCCGCAGGTGGTCGAAGATAGCGCAGCACATGCCGGGGAGGACCGACAACGAGATCAAGAACTACTGGAGGACCAGAGTGCAGAAGCACGCGAAGCAGCTCCGGTGCGATGTCGACAGCAAGCGGTTCAAGGACGTGGTGAGGCACCTATGGATGCCTCGACTGCTCGAGAGGATTCGTGCGGCTTCCGGCAGCTCCGCGGTCTCCACGCATCAGAGCGTAAACGATCCATCGACTTGCAAACGACCCGAGGAGGGAGACGTCGAGCTCGGTGAGGCGAAGAGCGCCAGCCCGGAGAGCTCGAACATAGTCAGGTCGTCCTCGGAGGCCTCCGAGGTGCAGGTTTCAACAGCTTCAGTGTCCGACCGCTTCACCAACTGTGACGACGCATGGTTTCAGGAAACGACAGGCTTCGGCGCTTACTGGCCGGAGACTCTACCGAGTCCCGGAGCTTGCGATAGCTGGGGTTGGTCAATGGATTTGGATCAGAGCGGGTGGGAGGAGAACTTGTGGAGCATGGAGGACACATGGTTACAGCAGCAGATCTAATTGCAGAGAGAGGACATCACAGAGGCAATTGTAAAGGGAAAAGACAGCATGGATTTGGGAAACCAGAGAATGTGTCGGGAATTTTTCTGTCTTCCCATCATTTTCTCCACTCATTATAATTCTTACTACGTGATTAAGGAACTATAAATTCACGTCTGCTTGTATCGAATAAATTGTTTCTGAGGTGTAGAGAAAAAAGCTTTGATCTCTGTGACTAGAATTCAGGTTACTGCGCTCATCATGTTGTCTATGAATCCAAGCAAGCATTAATGAGACAAACATAGAATCTATGTATGCTAATTACTACTGGAGTTTCCAGAAACAAGCCACAGATCGAGAGTAAAAATTCATGTGGTCATTTGTTGGATTATAATAGTCAGTCATCCATAAAAGTCAACTTCCTGTTTGCTCTGACTGCTATAATATTTTGGGAACAAGCCAAGAATTCCTCTTAATGTTGCATCACTGTGACTAGTTTTGACTTGATGCTATCAAGAAGTCTAAAAACAATGATCAGATGAAACCATGTTTTGGTAGATTGCATGACTCTGCACCAAACAATCAAAGCTCAAGTGTGGTCAAGACTTACGTGCTAATGCTTCATTAAAACTCTTCAAGCAGCCAATGTTCAGACTGGCCCTCCTCCTCCTTCTCCTCCTTCTCTTCCAGGAGATGACACCACACACAAAGGAAACAGAAGTGGCATGTACCCCAAATGACTTGAGACTTGAAAGCTCCACCTCCGATGGTATGTACTTGCGAGATGATGCACAATGCATCAGCAACAGGTGAGTGATTAGAAGAGAAGACACAAGGGAAAGTAAATTCATATTTACTATATGACCATTGCATATATATCCCTACAAAACTCAAAAACTTACATATGACCATTACCATACTAATATTGGAACACAAAATTACATTAATTCTTTCTTAAAAATATTAAAAAACACAAGGGTTCAGATAATTGGTGAAAGTAATAAAATATGTTTTAGTTAATTAAAAAAATATTTTTAAAAAATTGGCTATGATCATAATTATGGTGCTTAACTTGCGTTTGTTCGATGAATATTAGCATAAAAAGCACTTATGAAATATTTAAATATTGGGAAGGATATATGTATATATCCATGATTTATTTCAGATGTATATATGGAATCAGAACAAAGGATATTAGGACTAAAGATGATTTATGCTGAAGAAATCTATCTTGGTTGGGAGTCCAATCACTTATCATTATATTTATATCTTCTACGGTTTAATCTAAGCTTATATATAGTTTTCTCTTTTTAGTTTACAGTACTGCATAACTATTCGCTGGTGTGAATTGCAACAATTCTTTTAGGTACGTGCAATTATTGATGAACGGTGTGGATCTACGGAGACAGCCCCTGCACAGATATAGATCCATACTTAGCCGTAACTTGAGGCTATATGAAGAACAACACTTATGTTGCATCCATCATCTTCGTTGCTACCAACCATATCTCAAAATCCACTTCAAATTCGAAGGAAGAAGAGATTCTGAATAATTGTTTTAACAGCAAGAAATTAAGAATATAAACTAATATGATATAAAAAATAGGCCTGTATATGCAAGCATTAGGTCGATCATGGCGTAAGCCACAAGCCATTCTGATGACCATGTCTCAGGTAAGAACTCCAAGTCTTCTAAGCTTCTAAATTCTACGTCTCCAACCATGTACATCTTTCGCTTTCAGCCGCCATTTCCGTCCACCACTTGGATCACCATCTCCACCACCGTCACTGAACCAGAAGAATGTGAAAAGGACGAGTGCGGTTGCAGACTGAAGGATCAACCATGGCAGTGGATATGGTTTACGTACAGGAGAAGAAATCATGAAAGGGAAGCCATACGGAACGTCATCTTTTTCTAGCTGTTCACATCTTCTAAAAGCATGGACTTGGAAGAAGATGCATGTCGTATTCCTGCAGCGAATAATAATCTGCACCTTTGTTTCTGGTTTCGCCGTGTCGATCAATCAATGAAGTAAACGAGGAAGCATGATTGATTGAGTCCAGTAAAAAGATAAATCAATGGAGAATGCGAGATGTGGCATTGTATTCATCCTTCGCATGAGAAAGTTGGAACATTGTTGTTACCTATGCGTCAAAGACGGAATCGATTAGCAAAGGCAACTGTTAGAGCTCTCCTTGTGGCATACGGAGGATGTTAGCCAGTGGTTATCGTTTATCTCATGGGAGACGAGCCTTTAATCCTTCTCTAGCTTATTTCAGGCATATTAGTCTTTGTATATGCTTCTTGCACATTAAAAGTGTTCTTCATTGTCTCGCCTCTCCAAGTTTTTTATGAATATATATATACATATGTACTGTATGTTCAGTGATCATCCACTGTAGCTACTATACATGCTGGATGGAATGCCATACACTATACGCCATCCACAGCAAGGTTTTCTAGTAGTTGTTAGCTCCTTTGCCGGAGTACAGGGAGTTCGAAACGTGCGGTGGGCTCTCCTTGTTTGACCCAAATGCAATGGCTTCTTTGCTTGTTTGTGGAAGTTGCTTGCTGCCAACCCAAGTCCATCCAAGTGACACAGTCTAATTATTGGGACCATTCTGTCATCACATTCCACCACGATCATTATAATAAGAACAACAGGTTGATCTTCCACACCGATTCTTGGTTGACTCTCAGTTTTCTTGTCCAAGTTTCAATCATGCATGACATAAAGATAATTAACTGTGTGACTGTTCTATCTATCTATCTATCTAATGAATGCATAGCCAAGTGGGGTTCCAGTCTTGTTGTTTAGTCAGGCCTCAAAGTCGTCTCGAAGATTTCATTGTGGCTTGCCTATGGTAATATACAAGTCTCCTCGAAGAAGAAATGCCTCAAACTAATGTTCTCTTCCTAACTTTTGGCTGTTAGCAGCTGAAGGATGTTGGCTTCATGTAAGAGATTTAAGGCTGCACGAAGTTTCCGCGCATGCATGAGATTGTGCACCACCTAATAACCTGAAGGGAGCAATGCTTTGTAGTGATTTATTTCCACTTCATTTGGCCTCAGAAACCATGGCAGATTCTTTGTGGTAATAACCTGTCGTATCAGACGTTCTCGCTCTTCAGGCGTGCTTCAAAGTACATGACTGCTTCCTTAGTCCAAACAGATTCGATGGCAGTCTGCTCAGTGCTTCGCTTTGGCAGATTCCATTTAGCGTTTAGTCGATTGCTTTCGCTGGATTTGTTCGTCAACACAACACGTGACTTTGAGGCAAACTAGTTGTACCTTTCTCTTCGAAAATGTCAAAGCCCACAACGAGTACTAAACATTTTGTTCGAGCAAGCAGGTGAAACTCCACCATACTAGAAGGAGACCATGGACAGAACGAGTTCATGTCATTGAATCATCACAAAGATCTGTCCTAATGCCCTATCCCCCAATTTCTGCAGCTCCAAGTACGACCATGGAAGTCAAACTAAGTAAAGAGTAAAAAATAAACCGGGTCTACTCTTCTCATCTTATTTTAGAAAAGTCAAACATGACCCCAAGAACAGTGATGTGGAGCTGGTCAAGTCCTTCGCCATGATCTGTCCTACAAATGCAAGTGGATCTGGCACTGGTCAACTCCTTTTCAACAAGCTCTTTCAGTAAGTTCTTCAGTGGTGGAAGAAAGGAAGAGTAGTTAACAATCCATTAATAACTATTTGTTGTCAATTAATTGCTTTGGTCACAAGACTGGATTGTTAGATGTGATCACAACCCTACTGAAAGGTTTTCTTTCCTCTGAGCTCAACTTTCACAAGTGTGCAGGAGCTCAAAATACTGCCATTAAACCACTTTATATGACATCCTTATTAGTCTTATATCGAAGAGGAAATAATTTGGGATGATGAATATTTTTGGATCAGGTATCTGAGAGGTAAATACAAACTTGTGAAGAAGATGGCATTACACTTACTTTGTGGGCCTCAATCACAGCTTTGTATTCCTTCCACAAGCTACCAGAGTCCGGCAGAAGAGCATCTGGTGCTATGTTGGACCCATCTCCATGTGTACAGAGCAATAGAAGTGTTGTTCTACATCACTGTCTCACTATCTATAGATTGATAACCATGATTCTGTGACAAAAGCTTCATGCCTCTTCCCCTGCACACACAGAGAGAGAGAGAGAGAGAGAGAGAGAGAGAGAGAGAGAGAGAGAAGATGGGCAATAGTCTGCTGTCGATGGTGTTCCGATGGCCACCATTCAACCTGTCCAACCTCGCAAGTAACATGTCTCTGCTCGTGTTTAATTTGACCGAGTTCAGCTTCTCTAGCATCATTCCTACCTGGCCGGCGATCACCTTCTCGGTGGTGGACGACATAGTCTGGGCCTTTGTTACGGTGCTAGAGTCGGTAGCCTTGGTTGCCATGCTCTGCTTCTTCTTCGTCTTCTGTGGATGCAACCTATGAACCTATTAAGGTACAATGAAAGTGTTAAGGTTTTAACTCATATCTTGTGTAACTCAGAAACCAAGTCATGGAGATCCTCTAAACCTGCACCATTGGAGCTTTGATGCTTTGTTTCCTGTTGCGATTTGGGGACAGTGATGATGATTGGTAGGCTGGATTGTTAGGTGAACCGGGAAAACATGGTGTTTGCGTTTTTAGTTGGGTTTTCTTATTGATTTCCTTCATACTTTACCCTGTGTTTGTCTATATCTATATGCCTCTACCACTTGATGGTGTTGACTGCCTTTGCTGGTAGATGAACAATGGCCATGGTCTCTGTGGGCCAAGTTAGAGGAAAATAGAATTTATGCAGTCGTCTTCCTTAAGCAATGAGAGTAAATTTCATTGAATTATTTCTTGATTCATACTGGTTCTAACCAGAGCTAATACTTGGAACTTGAATCAGGGAGCAGAGGGCCTCTATTGTGAATTTATCATTGTAAATGACTGCTATGTAGCTTTTGCTTATTCTTAAATATCATGATAGATTGTTAAATTGTGATGTGAAAACTTGTTCATTAAGCATGTTGAATAATTTAGATATCAATTGTTCTGTTCTACTGCTCAAAACCTGCACCAAGATAAAGTAGTTAAGTTACATGCTGCCAGTCTGCACTAAAAGCTCATCACTTGGTTAACTTGCCACTAAGAATTGTCTTATTTCACCACAATAAACTAGTACCATTGGCCTTCTGGTCCATTAGGATGATTATGCCATTCTTCTTAGAATATAAAGCATTTGCAAGTTGTCTTGAGGTAACCTCTTAAGGCTAATCCTTTTGATGTAGTGTGGTTTGTTCTTTTTGGATGGAGAGACAAATAGATTCTGAACATAATGGAAGGTGTCTGAAACTTGAAGCAGTTTGCATCTAAAAATTTCACATTGGTGGATTAAATGGTGCTGTAACGCATTTGAATGCAACATAATATGAAATCTACTGTAGCAGAGAAAGCTAAGCAAGTTCTATCTCAATTAAGGTAATTCCAGTCTTGTCTTGATGCTCTTATGTATCTGTACTTGTTTATACTGAGAGTCTGGTGCATTAATTCACTTTACAACACACCTGGCTTTATGCAACTATTTTAATTTATATGTAAAGCCTTTCACTGCTAGATGGAAGATGATTTACTTCTTTATGTACTGTTTTTGGATCTCCTATTCATTGAAACAAAGATTTAACCTCCTTTTCATCATATTTTCTTTCTTGTCTTCTCAGATCTGTTTGGTATAGCATTTTCTGTTTGCCCTTATACAATTGAAGTTGAAGTGGTTTCTATTCTCATGAAGATACACAGTAGTAGCTTTTTTCCACACAAAAAGATACTAGTATTGGCAGTAATTGCCTTTGAAGTCTTTCATTTTGCAATATATATATCTGTTTGATGATATACACAATCATAGGCAGCCAAATATTTAATTTGGAACCAAATATGGCCTTATTTGTTTTGGCAAGCTTAAGCTTTTTTTTTTTCCCCAAAGGCAATATGAATAACATGCTTGATGGAATCTAAAGATTTTTTGTGCCACTAAGGTGCTTAATGAAATATAGGGATCCAGGAAAGTTGATGGTGATCTTGAAGATATCATGAAAGAACAAAATCTCTTCCCATCTATCTGAATTTGATGATCAAAAAGCACTAGTCACCCATCCATGACAGTCAGTGGGGAAGGAAAAGAATCCAACACCTACAGTGGAAGCATGCAAAAGAACAGAATAAATGTATAATGACAAAAGGATTATGAACCCATTTGAGTAATAGAAAATGACAGGTTTGGATTTCTCTCTGAGAAACTTATGAAGATAGACTAAGGATTAGTCCATATTGCCAAAGATAAAAAGGACTCAAGTGAGCAATAAACTTAATAGTCTTACTTCATTGATTGTTAAACTCTTGTTCTTCATCCAGGTTATATCTTGTTCAGTGTTGCAATTTGCTTTAATAGCTAACTTAACATGTTTTGATGAGTCCCCAAAGAGCATCAGATTTGCCTTGTTAGTTCCATCTAGGAATCATTGATCAACATATATTTCTTCTGTTAGAACATAGTGATGAGTAAATCTTTGGATTTGTCTGTTTCGGTCCCAAGTTGGATTGCCACACTACCTATAGCAGAGGTGCATAACACTGTCTGGTTATAATTAGTATTGTCATGAAGACCGCATGGAAAATTGTATCATGGTGATGCTCACTAAGCAATCTGCTCCATTAATGAAGCTGGAGTCAACCAACTCTGGAGCAATGGATCACTCTAGAATTAAGAATGTTGAAAGCTCAGATTCTTTTGTTGGTGAAGCTGGTGATATGTCTTGTCCTTAGTAACTCATCTTGTCTTCCTTTCTGCCCCACTCCAAGACACCACCCCATTAATTCCATTTACAGTGATACTTAACTATCACTCCTTGTAGTGATGATTGCCTTGATCTCATTCATTTGATCATCTCCTGGATGATTACCCTGTCCAAATGTTGGATGAACTCTACACCATGTCTCTCTGGCACTGCATGAATTCTACCCAGCTCAGGTGAGATGAAATCTAGAGTCGAGGCACAAAATGAGCTTCGGCCTCATGGCTTTCCCAACACCATCATCAATGGGAATTGGCAGTCCTACTACTCCTACATCTTCTTGAGTGGACTTGTCACAGTAAGACAAAGTCATAACCTGATTAGTTCAAGATGAAAGAAGGGGTACGCTTGAGCCCAATGAACTTACAACAGCTTGCAGCCTTGTCACAACTAGATTTTGTCAGTATTGATTCGATTGTATTACGTCCAAGTTCGTCTCATGTTAAAGCTAATCGAATCCAACCCGACCGAGTAAGATCAAAGCTAAACATTATATAGTTCGAATTCTAATTCAAAGCGAAATAATCAGATAGGAAATAGGTTTTGGACAGCAGAACAGAAAACAGAAGACAAAGCAATAAATCCCAAACAAGCAGATTGAAGAAGCGCAGCGCAGGTCCCGGAGAGCACTTAACAAGACGACAAGTCCATCCCCTTCTCTTCTTCTTTAACGTCATCAAATGCGGCCTTCCCTCTCTCTCTTCACCGGAACATCCGCAAAGCTGCTGCTGCTGCTGCTGCTTAAAGACCGATTTCCTTGACCGCAGCAGCCGCGAGCGAAAAAGCGGAGCGCACTCCACCAGTCCATCCACTCCACCACGTAGTACTTGGACCATATTTATTACACAGCACTTCTACAGTGCTGAGCCTTTTTTGTCGTTCCCTCCCATCTTCACCTCTCTCCATGATCCCCTCATATACACGTCCACCGGTTCCATTCTGTACCGGAAGCCGAATTCCAACCCTAATCACTGCAGAGCGAGCTAGAGAGAGAGAGAGAGAAGGAGATGGGCCACAACTGGATCTCCTTCGCGTTGCCGCACATGGAGATGCTCCTCCGACCCTGCAGCTACGACCTGCAGGCCTCCGCCGCCGCCTCCTCCTCCTCCTCCTCCTCGGACAACAACGTCGGCGCTTTTGCCTACGGCTACCAGTACGTTCTTCCACCGGCCCCCGCCCCCTCGGAGCTGAAGATGGAGGTTCTCCTGGGAGGAGGCGTCGGCGGCGCCCCCCGCTCCGAGTTTCTGACTGCTGACGGTCGGGACGGGTCGTCGGCGGTCGTTCGAGGGGCCGGGGAGGTGGCCGCGCCGGTGGGGCTGAAGAAAGCGACGGCGTCAGCGGCCGCTGGCCAAAGGACGTCGGTCTACAGAGGGGTGACCAGGTAGTAGTTGATCAATATATCGTTTTACTCGCTTCTTCCTCTCCTCGTTATGCATGTTAACGTGTGATTGGCTCACCCGTGCGTGCGCGGGTGCCCGCGGTTTCTGCCTTCGCCAGGCACAGGTGGACGGGGAGGTATGAGGCGCACTTGTGGGACAACACGTGCAGGAGGGAGGGCCAGAAGCGCAAGGGACGCCAAGGTATTCGACTCCCTTCTTCTTCTTCTTCTTCTTCTTCATGCCAATTCTCGTCGAGAATTAAGTAGATTTGGTATTGCATGCTTGTTAATTACCCCAGATTAGGATTATAAGTCGGCTTGTGATAGCAGTCGGCCACGTAAATATCAAACATATGATGAGTGCGCTCATACGTTGCGATGGATCCTTCCACATACGTAATTGATGGCTCGGGGCAGAGATAGATCGGCACTCGATAGTATCCATGATGGAAAACGTTGCGCAGTACCACAACGACGCCCGGATCTGGTTGCGCTTTGTCCGCAAGAGGCTGCCGCTTCCACGATAATCTAGTGTTCTGGTGCCATGAAACCAGCGGCTCTGTCTCTCGCAGTCACACATGTCTCTCGCAGTCACACATCCATCCTCCTTCACCTGGAGAGATCTCTAGGAAGACCTGAAACACCTATTTCTTTGGGAGAGAGTTCTGCTGTTTAGGATCAGGCATCAGAACAGTACATGCAATGACCTGTGCATGTGCATGGATCAGTGGCTGGGAAAAGTGTGATGCGAGCTGTAGGATCGATATCTCTTGCCGATCCAGTGATACTCGATGTGACAACACGCAGCTTTCATCTGCTTGGAAAAGAAGAATGGCGTCCTCTCATCGATGAAGAAGTACACTGATACCCCTTTTCAGTGGGGGGGCTTCTCGCATGTCAAATCTCCTGGCTCCCAGTATCTTTGACCGGAGCTCAAACCCAGCAAAGCTCCCATGAGTCACTGCAACAGACCGTGAATCAAATGCATTGGCCCCCTGGGCTCTCTTGTGCGCTTGCCGCTGTAGCATTGCACTGCTGCTTCTTTCTGTCCTTGTGGCCAACTTAAGATTCAGATGCATTTGATCACCCAAAGGTCGTTCTTGTGAGACCCCCATCAATCGCACTATTGCTGATGATTCTGACATTACATGGTTGCATGTGCATTCAGTTCTTATTATATTACACTATGTAAATAGTGGTGAGCCCATGGAGGTTAAACTATTGATGCATCAGTATACAGTCAAAGATGGATCACCAAGTTATGAATTCTGTTCTTAGGCTCCAGTTAAGAATGACCCATTGAAGCTGTCTGATATGCTAATCAAAGAACTACATTTAATTGTAAACTACAGTTTTGGAACTTACATGATGAGAACTCGACGAGAATTGTGAGCTTTTGGTGTGTTTGCTATTCTGCTGATACAAGTTTTGTTTCATTTTGCATGTACGTGAATGTGCTCTGTTGGTCATATCTGTGGCTACTCTTCAGTTTATTTAGGTGAGATGTCCTTTTTCTTCTTCAAGTTACGTAAACACCAATTTCATATGAATTAGAATACCGATTAAACTTCGATACGACGCAGGTGGATACGACGACGAAGAGAAAGCAGCAAGGGCTTACGATCTTGCAGCTCTGAAATATTGGGGTCCTACTGCTGCGACAAACTTTCCGGTTGTCTCTCTGATTCTGCTAGAATTCCGTCTGATTTAATCGGGCCTAGTATTAACCAAGCACCGAAATTTTCATTAACCAAGCAAACACTATATATCAACTTCTTTGCTTTATGGATTAGAGTACTCTTGTTGACTACTTTTAATTTAGGTATAGAATTCTTCAGAGAAAGATCATAATTTGGACTTCTCCTTTCATGTTCATCAACTCACGTTGCTTGCTCCTCCACTTCTTATCTTAAACCTTGGCAGGTGTGCATTTACAGCAAGGAGATTGAGGAGATGAAATGCTTGACCAAGCAAGAGTTCATTGCATCAATAAGAAGGTAAAAAAGCACACATTTTGCAGCCATCTTCCTAGAGAACTGCATCATTTCATATGCTTATCGAGTGTCTCTTGGAATTGTTCAGAAGAAGCAGTGGATTCTCAAGGGGTGCTTCTATCTACAGAGGAGTGACAAGGTGAAGACGCTGTGCCCATGCAATACCAAAATTACTACTGCAAATGTGTGTTTAAGGCAATTGCTTGTGATTTATCAGGCATCATCAACATGGCCGGTGGCAAGCAAGGATAGGTCGTGTTGCTGGAAATAAGGATCTTTACCTTGGCACGTTTGGTGAGCTTATTCGATTGTCTACGTTTGCTGAACACTGTTTTCTATCTTGTTTCCATCCTTAATCCAAAAATTGTTGTACAGCAACGGAAGAAGAAGCTGCAGAGGCGTACGATGTGGCGGCAATCAAGTTTCGCGGCCCAAACGCTGTCACCAACTTCGAGCTCAGTAGATACGACATGGACGCCATCGCAAACACTGAACTTCCGATCGGAGCACCCGCCAAACGGATCAAGCAGACTCCACAAGCGAACGATGACCAGCTTCCTTTTGATAGATCGGGCAATGGACAACATCTCAGCAGCGTGCCGCCGCCCCTCCTACATAACCTCGTTCAGCTTCACTGCCCTCCTGGCTTCTCACCCGGTCTGACATGCTGCAATTTAGAAGAGAATGACGCCGTCGATGCCTGCAGCCAAAACTTGTTCTTCCTCACCGCGAATGATCGGCTCAAGAACCAAGTTATCAACATGCAACCGGAGAGGGCTGGCAATCTCCAACTGAGACACCTTACTTCCCAGTAACGCAGCCAGCTGACTGCAGTGCGGAGCGAATCCATGCAATTTTGTAGAGCAAGTGGTGTTATAATCAATGCGACATGGATCTGCTCGTAGGCAAGTGATTTGTATGTTGTTAATGAATCAGATCTGGAAGCACACTCAGCTGGTTGAGATCATTAATCTACTGTAATTTTGAATGACAATGTGCAACTGTGGATTGACTGCTGTTGAATCTGGCACACTCAACTCAGTCAATGGCACGCATAAGGGAGTCGATGCCTGCTATTCCATCAGCATTCCTTTTCGTTTCGAAGAATGGAGCACAGCGCTGTTGCAAAGATGCCGTAGGAATCGGTGTTTAGCGTGCGGTAGTTAAGTCTCGCATCGGTTGCGTCCTATCATGTAAGTCGCGAGTTAAGGCGAGGCTGGCATTCGCAGGCCGGTTCGAACCGGGTTGGGCCGTCTAAAAACAATCTATGATTTGTACTTCAAATTTCATTTGACATATTTTTAATAATAATTTAATTATTTTGAGTTAGTAATTTATATAATAAAATGTTTACCTTTTTTATTTTTTTATGATGTTAATATTTATAATTTTGATTTATCCTCCACTTTGATGTGATATACTTATTTGTCATTTACTATAATATTAACTCTTTTATTAATAAATTTAAAAAGGAAGTCGTGACTTAAGTAGCGACCTGGACTCGGAGGAACGAGAAATTTCTCGAGGAAGAGGAGACCCAGCCGTTGCTTCTCATCATCGGGTTCGACCGCAATAGGCGGCGTTTGAGAATGGCGCTGGTGGCGAAGTACTGGATGCGGCTTGTCGCTGGCGGGGGAGGCGGCGCTGCCGCCGTTCCTCCGCTGTTCCTCCACCGTCTTTCTGCCGTCAGACCATACCACCCGGCCGTTTACGAAGGTACGATATCTCCGAGCCCGCCGCGATGGTTTAGGGTTTAGGGTTTAGGGTTCTGATGATGATTGGGTGACTGTGGTGGCGGCGCAGTCAAGGTGGGGATCCCGGAGTTCTTGAAGGCGGTGGGTAAGGGGGCGGAGGCGCACATAGCAAAGCTGGAGGCCGAGATCGGGGACTTGCAGAAGCTTCTCGTTACGCGAACACTTCGCCTCAAGAAGCTCGGCATCCCTTGCAAACATGTAAATGCCTCTTTATCTCCTCTTATTCTCTTTCAAGTTTATTATTGTAGTTCTCGATTCCTTTTTTACCCCGTCTCTATCTGCAATATTGTGTTATTAGTAAATTACAAAACGGAAATAGATAGTGTGGGAAGAGCTTTAGAGGATTTCAGTGCCCCATCAAGAAAGGTGTATAATTGTGTAGTTTGCTGCTGAATGAGTTAAGCCAGCTAGGTTGAAAACGTTCTTCATGGAGTAGATGTTTCTACTTTCCATAGGCTGAGAGAGGATTGCCATTCTAAAATCAGTTTAAAGATTATAAACCATAATTTTGTTAACAGTTAGAATCTCAGGACTATCTTCTTCCATAAAAAGGTTGTGGCTTGGGTTTTTATTGTTAAAATAGCTATTATGCTATGTTTTGTCTTTGGTGTTTAGTGGTGACGATGGGTCCAAAGCGCCCCTCTTTTGTGTATCGTTGACTCTTTCTGTAGTGAAGGAGATGATTTCTAGAGCGATGGGTAATTTTAATTTTGCTAGTGGGCAAATATATTGTGGGCTACCTTACATTGGAAAGCTAAGAAATCAATGTGTTGGCATCAGGGCTGCAGCAGAGGCTTCATGACATATTCGATAGTGCAGTTGAGGTCCCTTCTGAGGTGGAATATGTGGAATCTATAATAGGGATTGGCAACTACAAAAATATTGGATGATGAATATTAAATAAATGGTGAATCATGACTATAAAATAAAACTGTCAAATTCAAACAATAAATTAGTGAGATGCAGTCCCAAGTCAACTTGGTCTATACCCAAACTACCTATATTTGTGTGAGTTAAGCAACAACTTGAAGGAAAACAAAGTCAACTTTTCAAATGCCACACTGTAATTGCTAGTTGCACGTTTCCTCCTCCTTTGTCTATATGATTAGACATGTTTGTTCCACTTATATTAGTTATGCACTGTTGTTGGTAATGATTAACCTTGTTATATTGTATCTATACCAATCTTTTGAGTATTCCTTGTGCTAACTCAAACGATTCTATTCTTCTCAATTTATTTCACGTGCATTGTTTTTTGTAGTATTACATAGGTATTAAGGAATTTGGATCTTGTTGTGGTGTTTTTTTAAACTTTGGATGGCTCCTAATAAAATTTTTACCCTTAGATTCTTTATGTATATGTTATATATATTTTGTGTAGTATTCTTCTGATTTGAAAGTTCTTCTAAGTTAAGCATGGTGTTTACTTGATTATTTTTCATATATGTTTAAGATCTGTATCAACTGCACTATATCTGTATCTGTGAGTTAAGCCTTATATATTTTGTTTTGTTATGCATAATCTTTGAATGACAAATATCATGATATTCCTTTGTGTTATTCTTATATTGTAAAATACACCAAACTTGAGCACCTTTTTACTAATGAGTTCCTTAAGTTGTATTTGACAGGTACATGTTTGTAACATTAATATTTAAGTGAGAAATTATATTTTGTATGTATACTTATAGGTTTATTATAGTGGCATTCCTCTGATTCTGACCCTTCCAATGAGGGGAAATGTTGAATATTGATGGAAATTAAGACACTTCTCATGTGACCTACGTCAGACATGCTAACATGTTTTTTAGTTATGCAACTAGCATGATATTTGTTCCATAAATATTATAGTAGATTGCCTATTACTTCAGGGTGTTTTTACTATGGTTAACCTTGATAATTTGTTTTGCTACATTTCATATCATGATTTAGTTTTTTTTCTAGATGATAAATTCAAACACAACTATACCTATAGTGCTTAACTCATGGATGCAAATACATATTGCATAGTCCACTTAAGACAAGTTCTATATGAATTTTAAATATATTCATATACCGTATATCAAATGTTGTTCTTAACCATATAGAATAATCATTATACTTATTTAGAATTTAAGATCAAATGATACTAGACAAAATATATTCAAGGAATTTCTGTGACTTGAATAATATTATCCCAAATTGCGAAGGAGCAATCTTAACATTGTGTCGAGACTGTCTTTATATGTAGTTTACAATAATGAATCTTATAATTTTTTATTTAAATATTTTAATTTTACAAATTAAAAAAGTTAGTTAGTTATGGAAGTCCAAGAAGAATAACCTCACATGCACTGTGTGTTTGTGGTGTAGATTTGATTTCTGCAATTGTCCTGTGCTTTCACAGTTTCAGACAATGAAGATCACAACTTGAATTCGGTTGTCCTGCACTTTCCTTTGATACTTTCAGTTAATGCAGGCTGCAAACCGGAATTCGTGGATGTGTAAATCCGAGACCATACATAGGTGTGAAATCATGTAGCCTTGATCAGTTATATTGCAGCAAAAGGTGGTAGAAGAGTTGGTTCATAGAAGAGTTGAGGTGGCTTTCTGTACAAGATGTTGGATGAGTTAAAGGGCTAAATGGCTAACTGAAATTGCTGGGAAGAGATTAGATTTCAGGTTGTCGGTCAATTGTTTTGTCTTTTTTGTCCCTAATATTTATAGAATGAAGTATGCTCTATGCAAGAAGCATTTGCCGTCATAGTGCTGCTACATGATTGAGTGCAGAAAATTTGAGTTTTTTTAGTCTAATCCTGATGAGATAATCTTAAATTTAAAATTTAGTTGTCTAATGTGGACCCGAGTGAGACTGTTGTGGTTTACGGAAATCGTATGTACATTCAATTAGCAAAATAGATGGAACACTACCAGAAGTTAGGAAGCCCCATGCAGGTGCTTATTTTAGTTCGCCACCTTGAATATTCTGATGTTAATAAGACACTGCAGAATAAAAAAATTGAACTTTGGTTACCTTTTGTTAGTGGAATTCCCACTATCTGAATATGCTTGTACATAGTTGAATTTCAACTAGGTTGTTTATAGATTCTAATGATTTTCACTAATTTATGTTTGCCTTTGATGCAGAGGAAATTGATTCTCGAATATACACACAAGTATAGGTTGGGGCTTTGGAGGCCTCGAGCTGGCTCTCCAAAACAATCAGCTTAACTTTGATTCAGAAGCCAAAAAAAGGGGGGTGATGCTCGCACCTGTTGATTATCATGATAATCGTATTGGGAGAATGGTTTTGCATGAACATAGATGTTGACTTGAGTACTGATTTGTTGAAATATTTTCTTCCAAATGAAAGAACATATATCTGTTTGCTAATTAGCATCGGAATGCTCAACAATAATATTCAGGTGATTTTATCACTGAACCTCCTTTGTGTTTTAATACTGTGAAAGCAAGTTATCAGTTCTGTGCTTAACTTTGTGATTGTTAGTGAACATGTCTATATGATTGTTGTATTGTGTTGCATGTGATCATAAACACTGAATGTGTGGTTTAGATAATTTTCGAGTACTGTTGTTATGGTTTCTTACACCAATTTGTGGACTTTGCGACTTGTTTATCACATTGTATACTTGTAGGATTATAATATCACAAGGACAAGACAGATTTTGTGTTGCTTTATCCAAAAGTTGATAAATAAGTTACTGGTGGAGGCTTCATATATGTTAGATTTCTGAACCACTAGTTTGTTCGTTCTTATAGGTGTGTTGGACATAATAATGAATCAGTCTTATGAGATGATTGTTACTTCTTTGATTTAGAAAATCGAAGATGAAATTTAGGGCAGAGTGGCAGAGATATATAGTCACCAATCTGACTTGTTTAATTGTGTTATGCATGACTTCAATTATGCAAGTTAGAATATAATTGTTCTCCATCTAAGTATAGATCATATTACCATATAGTATTGTGATTATCATATATTGCCATCATGCAATATAGTCAATCTTGCTAGGTAAATTACATATTAATTTTTGTAATTAGTTACTTTTAGTATCTTAGTGTCTACACTTTAAAAATTTATATTGATATCTTTATAGTTATGAAACTAAAATATTTAAGTTCATTTATCCTAATGTCGTCAGTTTTACCAACGGAAACATAAAGATAAAAAGATATATTTAACGTTCCAATTGGTAGTGGTGGACGGTACCATCAATGGGGGTCGCAAGTGGTTGTTGTGGATAAAGAGAATGACGATAAGAAAATGCCGACGTAGTCGTTAAGCGACGAAAGGGTCGCTTGGCATCTGCATCAACGTCGACGTAGTTGTCGAGTGACAAAAAGGTCGTTGATGTAGATGCTAAGTGGCGTCGTTCTATATTTGCATCGACGCCGATGCAATTGATAAGTGATGTTGCTTGACATATGCATCGACGGTCCTTTCGTCGCTGGGCAACTATATCGACGTCGACATAAATATAGAGTGACGAAAGAGACACTCATCAATTGCATCGACGTAGATGCATAACGACCCTCACCTCTTGTCATTGTTTTCATCATCCACAATAACCACCCCCAGCGATGTTGTTATTTGCCACCACCAATTGAAACGCCACTAATTGAAATATTAATATTACCTTTTTACTTTTTTTTTAATGTTTTCGTTAGTAAAATTGATGTCATTAGGGCCGTTTGGCATCTGCAGATGTCGAGTGACGAAAGGGTCGCTCAACATCTGCATCAACGTCGTCGTTATTACAATACATGTGCCCTGCCGCTGCGCGGTAGTAACAATAATAGATATTATGAAGTTATTACTAAGTCCTATTTTTGGGAGCTCTAGCAAAAAGATCATAGAAATAATATGTAGATGCTAAGCGATATCACTCTGTATTTGCATCGACATCGATGCAATTGTTGAGTGGTGTTGCTTGACATCTACATTGACGGTCCTTTCATCACGTAACAACTACATCGACGTCAACGTAGATTTAGAGCGACGAAAAAGCCACTCATCAACTACATCGATGCAGATGCATAATGACCCTCACCTCTTATCATCGTTTTCATCATCCACAATAACCACCTCTAGCGATGTCGTTATCTGCCACCATCAATTGAAACATCATCAATTGAAATGTTAACATTATTTTTTTTTAATTTTTTAATATTTTTATTAGTAAAATCGATATCATTAGGATAAATAAACTTAAATATTTTATTTTTACACTTATAAAGATATGAATATAACTTTTTTAAAATGTATGGATCGAGATATTAAAGGTAGCTAACTGTAATTAACCCTCTCATAGGTGAGATTATGCTTTGTTTGTTGTAGTATCAACCTTTCTACTGAAGGCATAACTTATGTATATGTAATCACAAACATGCTTCAAAAGAGGTTTTTGTTTAGTAAATAATAAAAGATGAACATAAGATAGACGGACAAAATCTTTATCTTAATAATAATAATAATCTTATTATTATTATTATTATTATTAATGATGATAATAATAATGATGATGATAATGATAATGATGATATCAACTTGTAATAATAATAATAATAATAATAATAATAATCTCTGGTCTTCCTTGATGTAGGTCATTAAGGGTACTCATCTAGTTTAAGCGGATATTACAGATGTGGGTATTAAAGAAAAAGTGAGTTGCAAGCAAGCAAAGTGTATCAATTTCAATTACTAGTGATGTCATCTCGAGTTATGATCTGAATGAGCAACAGAACATCTGAGTGCACGCTTCTCAGTAGTAATATGCTTTCCTTCTCCATTTAAGTTCTAAGGGGATTGATTGCATGAGGTGACATGACGATTGATGTTTCGTGAGTAGGTGACGTAAAGGACACGGCTCGGGCACAGTTAACCGCTGTGACAAAAGACTAGGAGTCGTGATGGAGTAACACAGAAGGGTCATGTACAGGAATACTATCTATGTTCATATATACATGAGCAGATTGGAAGAGACGTACCATTCAGCTGTTGGTCTCTGCACACATGATCGATCGAGCTCATCCCATCGAAGGATTTGCATGGTTTCGCTCTCTCAAGCTTCCAGATCTATTCCTCGTTGCTTTGTTGTGCTCATCATACCCGGACGCTGGTTCGACATCGCTGCAGCAAGAAACGATACTGACATCATGAACTTGCATACATGAAATGACTTTGTATGATTTGGTGCAATTGTTTGGGGCAAACCAATAGTTATCCACTTGTGCCGAACACGAGCAATCAATATTGGAGTATTATTGAAGCATGACATTCTCCAATTGTATGAATTAAAAGACATGAGTATGAATCAAACTTTAATCATGGCATGGTTGCAGCAATAAAACTTGTCATTGTATCAACTAAAATAGCACCATTCCATAGAAGCCGGAAATCTGCCTTCCACCAAGAAATACTATCAACAGAATGGTTTCAGAAAACAGACTCCCAAGCCATCTCATAGTAAATTTTAGTCGAATAAACTAAAGGATTCGAGGCGCATACTTGGGAGACATGGAGGTGGATGCCTTAGGAGTATTTCCTGATGCATTCTTGTAGAAGTGAATAGAAATCAACCCGCCCCTTGTTTCTACGGAGGATTCGGGGTGACCATTGGATCTGCCACTGGAGCTGCCGCTAGGAAGAACTCCTGCGAAGAAACAAAAACATGAAATTGGAAGCCTAAGCAGTAATAATTGCAGTCTAATCAGTAATAAGCCACAAACTCCAAGTAACATGAATGACGACAAATCACAATCACTTGTCAAGAATCAAGATCGCTGTATCTTAGTTTATGTGATCATGTCATGCTTTGCCAATGTCTTGAACAAACCATTCCATGGCCATATTGCAATTGTCTATTAGTGTCGTGATCAGATGCCAAGCACAAGGCATTTTAAGACCCCAGTCATATGATATGCAACTGGGGAATGGTGTGATGCATGTAATATCATATACACAAAAACATTGCAACGAATGTAAATCTCCACTACAAGATTCTAGAATCAAGATCACTGTATCTTAGTTCCTATGTGATCATGTCATGCTTTGCCAGTGTCTTGAGCACACCATTCCGTGACCATATTGCAATTGTCTATTAGTGTCGTGATCAGATGCGAAGCACAAGGCATTTTAAGACCTCAATCATATGATGTGCAACTGGGGAATGGCGTGATGCATGTAATATCATATACACAAAAACATTGCAACGAATGTAAATCTCCACTACAAGATTCTAAAACTACCATCTTTAAAACCATTCATACTTGATAAATTATAATAATAACTGCTTCATTCGGCCGATAACGGCACAGAACAACACAACTAAAACTCAAGATCAAGCTTCGCTGTTTTAGAACAGACTGGAGCATGAACTAAATCAAACCTGGAAGAAGATTGGTGAATGTTAGCCACACCAAACATGAGCTCAACATTGACCACTTGTTATAAAGTGGAATACTTGTTACTAGGAAATTGATGTTTCTTTCTCACATCATGCAACGTGAATAGGCATGTAAATGAATAATTCACACTAACATGGAACTTCTAAATATCGGCAAGTTAAATGTACTTTTGTGTATGATATGGGCAACTTCTAAATATGGGCATGTCAACAGTGTGCTTTTAGTTCCAGTAAATGTAAGTAGTGTAAGTAACATAGACAACTCGAGGAGAACCGCCAAGTTGGAACAGAGGCCAACCATCCATTACTTAGTAGAAGATGCGATATAGTGTGAAATTCAAGACTCTAATAAAGTTTGATGATATGTTATCTACTCCCCATGGCATTATCAAATTATATCAACTCCTAATCCAACACACTGTCAACTGGAATCAAGGTACCTTGCCACATTATAACAAGGATGAAAAGAATGGTGATAATCAAGGCCCACAAGTTGCCGTTAATACGCGCAGAATTGGCATCCTTAACCTTTTTCTTCATCCGCTCGATCCTAGCTCGCTTCATCATTGCAATTTCTGAGATCTCCTTCATCAACTTCTGGTTGGTCACATCCAAAGGCAGAGAGTTGGGTGGCCGAGGTGGTTTCGGTGGCTTCTTGCACCCCTTCTTTTTTGTTGTCTCAAGTCCAACCTTCTTCTCCAAGAGGCCCATTTTTGCCTCTAGTCCAACACTCCTATCCCCCAAGGCTTCCCCATCTATGAGAGAAAGCTCCACAGAGCTAGATGCACTATCCCCCAACCTTACTACTCTTTCTCCTTTTATCGGCCCATCAATATTGATGAAGCTACTCCACACCCTACTCAACATTCCATTGTCCTGTCCGGCACTACACCATGTATCTTTTGATCCTTCCAGTTCTCTTATCACGGAATTCTCACCGCCCTCTAAATCAAAAACAAGTTCTTTTTCTCTTGAACTATTCTTATCCATGATGACCCCAATTCCAGCTTTCTAGTCAAGTATAAAGTGTGCATACCAAAATATCCATCATCTCATTAATATTGAGTATCCACAGCCTAATATCTATCTGTTTGCTAGCATCTGTAACTATAAGAGAACACTTCGTCTGCTTCAAAAAAGAAACGGAAAAACCATCTTCCTGCAACCAAGAAAGAGTTCAAAATAGATCAAGTCCACCAGCAAAGGATCCACCATCATCAGCTGAAAACAAGAAACCAAAGGTAGATAAGGATCCGATCGAAGAAAACAACCAACGAGCTATTATCCATGATAGCCGAGTCATAGAATTGGTACCTTTCTGATCAAATATGAAGTGCCTATACCAAAACATCCATCATCTCAGTAACATGGAGTATTCACAGCCCAAATATCCATATATTTGCTGGCATCTGTGCGAGAACACTTGGTTTACTTCAGAAAGGCCATCTTCCTGCCACCAAAACAATTCCAAAGATATCAAATTCGCCACCAAAAATCCGCCTTTTTTCAGCTGATAACCAAAACACAATAAAACAACCACCGACCTCCAAATGCAGCTACTGATTCTTCAAGGCAAACCTAATGATCTTCTTCATAGTTACGGACGCCACTGCATGATTTTTTTTCTTCTGCTTTCGGAAAAGAAAATTAAAAAATAAACTTTACATGCCAAGAAAACGCCGATTTTGCGAAATCCGACCTAAAATCCATCAAACACGATCAAATCAAAGCATATCAACGGCCTTACCATCAAGCCCAAGCAAGCAAGAGTTCCAATCGAGTCTAACCAAGAAAGAGCCTGCGGATAAGGGGATAAGAGCGGATTTAGGGTTTTGCTGACGAGAATCGGAGGGTTGGTGAAGCTGAAGCATCGGAATAGGGAAACACATAGGAGCATAGTATAAAGCAGGATAAATCCAACATATGTTGACGAAGACCGCGAAGGAAAACGAAGGGGGGCGAAGAGGCCGAGGTTTTCTGTTGATTATATAATAATAATAATAATAATAATAATAATAATAGAAATGGGAGTATCAGTTAATCTTTCCTACTCCTTATATTCATAAGAATATTATATAATTATGTAATATGATATTTATAATAGTATTAGAAATAATGTTAAATTGATAAGGATATTTTTGCTTTCAATTGGGAACCATCCAATTCTTAACATCATCTCTACATTTATGATGGGAGTGGAAAAATTGAATGCAATAATATAATTCAAGAAAACCCACATGTCATTGGAAAAGAGTCACTCTCTGATTGCAATCGTGATTATTATCACACTATGACTTTTGATTAAATGAGTAAGGTAAGAGGACCAATGAATATAATCTTACTATATAAATAAATAGATTATTTTAAGAACTTGATGATGGATCACATGGGAAAGGAATAGCTCAAGCATGATGCAAGTCAAACCCTCTCATAAATTTTTGATTCAAACAATCAACCACCTACCTAATGTGGCAGAGACCTAATATGAATTATCATATAATATTTGGAACTATAAGTGTCAAACACATTTAATTGGATCTATCTATATGATGTTTGGGTGCATATGTGCCAAAACCGCTTGAGCCTAATTCCCAAACAATGGATATACTATATATATAGGTTGAAATATTAGAATTCAATGGTTGAAAGACTTGTGAAAGGATGCAAACTCTTTTCTTGAGACCTTATCTACAGACTATTGCATGTCAATATCATTGGTTGGAGACGAGCCAAACTTTTTTAAGTGCAATGCATATGCTTTTAGAATGGTTGAAAGATACCAAACCTTGATGATGTAGTAGTAGTAGTCTTTTGTAACAAAGGTATCAAGTATCAAAGATCTTTACCAGCATCTGTATTTTACAAGTACAAAGCATTCAGTTAAATTGTGAATTCACAACATGTTCGATACATTGAAGAAGCTTTAAGGGATGAATAAAACATTTCAGAATATGTGAAAAAAAGGGTAGAACGATATAAAAAATAATAAATATTGAACAACAAATGTAAAGAAAAGAAATAACATGAAATAAAATACGCAGAAAATACTGTCTATAAATTATTCATCCTGGCGGCTCAAGTCACTGATAAGTGATTCACAGACATTACAAGTAAAACTAGTGCACAAGAGCACATCAGGAATTTAAAAGGTTTTATTAATCCAACACTGTTTATCGTGGGTACAAAATTCGCTGCACATCTGATGAGCTATGAGCGATGAAAGAAGACAGAACCCGAATAAAAACACAGTCAGACTTCAAAAACAGAGAAAAGCAGCATCAATACTGACTATTTCAACGGAATATAAGATGATACTCCCAGAAATCTCCACAATCAATCTATGATATTAGAAATTGACTTATGTATATGCAGCCAAAGACTTTGATCAAAAGGCTCACTTGTGGCTGAATCTGGTGGCAAAAACAACGGGCCAAACACAAACCAAACTGATTGCAGGTAAATCTTTGTTGGTAAGCTTGCACATCCACATAACACTAACATCCAGCAGGCATAGCATGTACCTAACGGGCACCTAGGTTAGGTGCCATGAACACATCAACTTTGTAGCAGTTGGCACCAAAACTGTGAACTAAATGATACACCCATATGTCTCTAGTCACCATGCAAAAATCACAAACAGCATGTTCATGATCATATTATCCGAAACAATAGCCATAACAGGCAAGACAACTGCAGGCTGCCCTGATTTCCATCCTTTATCGGTATTATATGACTTCATGCCGACATAACCTTTTCCTTAGTTAGTACCAAAAAATATTACCGACTCAGAGAGTTTCTCTACATGCGTAAAGAAGTGTTGATTAGACTACATCTAATCAAAGAACCAACGATAGTCTCACTACCAGCAAGATACATATCTATCTCATGTCAATGTGATGAACCCTCCATTCCAAGGCAAATGCATTTCTTGAAGTATCTGAAATGCAAACTGCTGAATATTGCAGAAACAGTTAAGACTGTAGAACAGTGGATCCTTAAACCTCAAAGATAAAGAGACTGGAAGCTTACCACAGAATCAGCAATCTTTTTAACTTGAATTTCCATATTGCACCCTGAAAATTTGGCCACAAAGTATTAGGGCAAAAGTACAGTCAGATAACCAACAACATCCATCATATAACTCTTTAAGTGTCGGACATCATCGATTTTGCATGCACTGACATCTAACAGAAGCTTTCCAATTTGAGAGCCGGTCAATATTCTGACCCGAGCACTTACCTCACAAGCTAGAGCCAAAAACAATAACTTCGTCCTTCCAAAGGTAGATAGACAAAAGGCATCACGTTGAAAATAATGTTAAAGCATGATTCTAACTTCCTTTCCAACTTTGAAACAATCAAATAGAAAAGATCAACTCACCACCAGATACATTCCTGATTAGTATCGACCATACGCATTCCCAAAATCTTCATGCCTCTGACGCTGTAATTCACCATATGCCTCATGTGGCCTTGGAGCTGAATAGTTCTCACCAGGGTATTGGTATCTATTTGTGGAATCCATATGTAAACTAGACCCAAGATACTGCATATTCCTGGTAGACAGATCATACTCAGCCAAAGATGGTTGGTTATAGGCAGTCTGACGTGCTTGTTGCCGCCTTTGGATATCAAGCTGAAGAAATTCTTTCCACTGCTTCCTGTGCATACCCCTCATAATAGCCAGCTTCTTCATGTAATCCTCCCTCAGCTGTCTAATGCACTGCATTCATGGAAATAATGTGTGCTAAATCTATATTCGGTCGATTAACCTCAACAAAGAAGTTAGGAAGAGGGCTACTACAAAACTGTAAACCACTAATATTAACATCTGTGTATCTCCATTAACAATAGTGTAAAAGAGACCCATCAATCTGTAACATCCCATGGTAAACTCACAACATTAGTCAAGAATGTTGTGCAACTACAACTTCAACAGCAGATGTGGAAGTTGAACATAATTTGAGATACAAGTGGAAGTTGACTGGTTACCTTTTCAGGGAGAATACAACAAAAGGGAAAAGAGAGGAAAACAAAAGAATTTTGATCCAGCAGTTAACCAGGTTTTGGATATTATACAGACAGCCTGATGCTCATGGCCATGTTTACTGAGACAGCTTTTGAAAATCCAATTAACAGAAGTGGTTCTTCAAAATGATTAAATAGTGCTCCTGTTAAATCATCACTGTAGACCACTGAATCAAGAAACATTATCTTCTAGTCAATCATGAGATCCTTATTTGATCAGCACTCTGCATGATAGACGTAACACCTCTGCACCACCTATGCAATGAACAATGCTTGCATATCCAAATGCAACCATGCGATAGAATGCTTAAACTAGGAATTGGTTCCACATTAGTCCTAGTCTCTATGCCAAGAGCACACTACAACCTTCCAAAATATGTACAATTGAAAATCATATGATACTTTCCACATCTCTATCGCTTCAAATGATACACCTAATCCATAGTTGACCACCTTCCACATACCAAGATGGGAAGTGAATAATCCAGTCTAACCTCGGAAACAAATGTTTAAGATCTTTTACATTCTTATCCTTTAAGGTGAAAAACCCTTTGGGCAATCCCATCTTCGAGTAACTTGCGTTTATATCAATTAGAAGGGCCAATAGATTGATAGGATATTTAGTTATCACCATACATAATAATGAAATATTCAAAGGTACAACCTGTAGGCACTTGTGAAAACAGTTCGAGGCTTCAAGCTTGTTCTCAGAGATAGAGAAAGATCAAACACATTAGATACATCACAATTGAAACTGGAAGAGCATAAACTGGAGAAAATGCTGACTTTCCAAAACTGAAGTAGCATATAGCATATGTTTCAACAGATGAAAGAAAATGTTGCCTACAAGACTAATAGACCAAGATTCATAGGGAAATGATGCAAGTGTGTCAAGTCAGTGGGATTTAGTTGCAGCCTAGTAAGTCTAGTTTATGTCTTAATCAGAGTTAATGTTAACCTAAGTCTAGCTTTTTCTACACCCATATTTTTTTGTTTGGAACTGTTCAAACACAAAGATAACAGTATCCAGTCATTGCACCCTAAATTCTATTAACAGACTTGAAAATCCAAAATCACTCAAATTTATAAAAAAAAAAGAAAGAATGCTCATAATAGACAGATTATGCAACATAAGCCTACAGGCTGTAAACCCAGGGCAACTTTTTTTAATAAAGTGAGTTGTCTCCAACTTAGATATTGAGCACAGAGAAAGAATTACTTGAGAAAATAACAAAAAAGTATTAAGTTAATTAAAATTCTATTAAGCATTTGTGTAAAATCGACTTCATCACATATCAAAGTAAACTGAAAATCAAAATTTGTACATTCCACTGAAATGTCAATTTTTCTCATCTTTCCGGTAAGGTTCACATGAGTGAGATCGACCTAAAGATTTGGAACCAGGTTGACTAAAAAAAAATAAATCCAAACAATAAAAAAAGTATCAACAAACAAAAAAAACGTTATGACCAGTAAAATTTTATATATTTATTTTGAACATCCAGTCTCAACTTAAAATATAAGATTTTTTTTCCTAAGGTTCACGGGGATAGTTAGGGTCCTCTCTAAGTATTTAAGGACCTAGCTCATCTCAGACCATTCATATTAAAAGTGAAATATTGGACCTCAGCTGAGAGTTATGGTTCCTATAAACAAATTAAAAAGATGTGAAAATTGGAGCATGGTTCATAAGTCCATGTGTTGGTATGCTGGTATGTACTAAATATATACTGGTCTGGCACAAATTCTTTGAATTCACATGAATATATGCAATATAACAAAAACACATTTATTGGTCATATGAAGAGAAGAAAAAATTGTCTGGTTTTTGAACTGTTTAACTCTTTTCCTGATCCTATTATCAAGCTCTGATTTTCAGTCAGTTTCAGCTGAAAGATGCAATATAGAAATCAGTCATGACCTTTCTATTAATCCAATGTTGCAAAATGTTCAATGCTGAACCTGAGGGACCAATTGCTGCATAAGTACTTTCAACAGCTAATCTTCTGACATATGGCAAAATAATTAAAAAAAACAAATAGCAATTCTTAGCAGCACGTGCTCACTGACAACACCTGAGAAAACTATAAAGAACAAGCTGATAGCTACTTCCGTAGTTAAAAAATCTTTCTACATGCATTAGGAGTTTAAACATAGAATGACAGAAAAAGGAAAGAAAAAATTCACATCATTTATTTAGTGCATTAGACAAGTTTAAATAGCATTTAATAAATGGAGATGGGTTAAAATTTCCAACTATCATGTTATGGAACAGTTGTGAACATGTATGACATGTTTGTAGTATCCTAGCATTTCCAGAGAAGTAATTATTCACGGATAAACTCTACAAGCATATAGTGGCATTGTCAAAGTAAACATATGACATGAAGGTAACCATCCATGAGCAATGCAAATTAAAGCTAAAGGAGTGCTCAAAGGAATATTCACATTCATCAGGAGTATAATTTTATTTACTAATGACAAAGACACCACTTAGGTTCCAAGGATCTTCACTTAGCAATAAAAACAACATCAAAGAGGTTTCTATCTGTTGCATAGCAAAATATAAAGTTAAGACTATACCTCACGGTGCTTGTAATTCTCTTCATCCTCTTCTTGATCATGTATCCTTCCAATCTCCATAATCTCCTTCTTAAATTCTGATTCAAGTTCTTCTAAGTATCGAGGGTAGTTAGAAAAGTCAAACTTATGCTCAGAGTGGGAATCCATTCTCTGTCTCTCAATATCCCAGCTGTGGTCATGCATTGAAGTATGATGATTGCGTCCATCATATGATTTAAATGCATCACGACCAGAAGTCGAATGGAGAGGAGATTTTGATGGTGCTGGATGGTCTTTTCCTCCTCCATTAAAGTAAGCTTCGTATATGAAGAACATGTAAGCTATTCCAGACTATAAATCCAGATGTCTAACGTACATTAATGCTTTAACTGGAGTCTACATGATGTTTAAAGGAAGGAATGATGCCAGAAAGATGCAGAAACATTGGGCCTAGCTAAACCACAAAGTCTGGATATTCTTTCGATATACCTATTTGCACTCAATAAATCAGTCTGACCCAGAACCATGCAGAAAATCACTTCATAATCGGACTCATAAAGGTTGAACTTACCTCTTGCTCCACAAGGACAAATAGACAATCACTTCTTGATGAAAAATAGGGTAGTTTTTTCTAGGGTCATCAGATTAAAGACAAAAAAACTAGCAGATAGGAAACTATATGCCAAGCCCCAAACTGTTGATCGACAGTAGAAGTTTCACTTAAGGCCCTACCTCGTGGAGAGCCCCTAGACATTTTACGCAGCTCTTGACGTACATTATCATTTGCGGGCCTTTCCCGGTTAAAACCCCTGCCTGGGATGCGCGACGTGCTTCTAGGACTAGAATGAGATCTCTGAGATTCAGAGCGTCTTACTTGAGAACCTTTGGGACTTCCATCAAGTGATCTGGAGTCATATCTGTTTGAATTACTTGGACTTCTCTTTCTATCCTTACCATCCTGAATCACTTTATGCACAGCATCTACACCTTTTGTCAAAACTAATCTATCCCTTCCACTGACAAACAGAAACTTCTCGTCCATTTTTATCTTACAACCAATATCCTTTTCAATTTGATTTATCACCTTATCAGAGAAAAGAGCTCTCACATTCTTGTCTCTTGCTGGAACTCTTTCAAAAAAATCTGTGGATTTACGATTTGCTCCAAGAGTAGATGGGCATCCCTGCAACAGAAACAAACAGGTAGGACAGACAAGCAGAAGGTCTAGCTATTCTAAGAGGTTATAAAAAATAAAGTTGAGGTGATAGCAGACTCTACTCTTCAAGTATGAAAAGCACATGCACCTAGCAATCTCAACCTTTATGAAGCTGTAGCATACCATGCAAAATAACTAAAAGAATCCATTACAAAGATAAAAAATCTAGCAGTATCTTAAAAAAACCTTGTCACCTTTAATGGATAATAATAAAAAAAAGAAAAAAAAACTCCAATAACATATTTATATATCCATACAGAATCAAACTTCCTGTTGTTTCTTTTACCAATTCATACAATCTAAACTGGCCATCCCAAATTTTGTCTTTTACTGTTATTCCAATAAGAAAAATACATTTGGTAATAACCCAGTGAATATCACTAGACAGAACAAAAAAATACCATTTTCTTAGCAATTTTCGTGTCATGTGTCCTAGATCAATTGATCCTCCTGAATTTTCCCACATAATATTGATGCTACAGTACTATACAGTTGGTCCTTCTGTAATCACCAGTAAGCTACAGGACATAATTACTGTATTGACAGAGAATCTACAAAAGTGTTTGGCTGATTTTCATAAACATTTCTACAGTTTTAACACATTTTCCATAGCATCATTCAGAGAGACTCAAGCTGCAAACTAAGTAAAACATGAAACAAAGAAAATTTGAAGATAATAAGTCAAGAAATATTGTTAATACTTCATCAGAGTCTCATATTCACTGTGAATCTAGAAAACCCATTTATCAAAACTATGGATCTAAGGAGAACCTAGACCAACTCTTTTAAAGTAGCCAAGCCATTAACTAATTCACGATTAACTTTTTCACAAATCGGCAAGAAGAGCACATCATCAACCAAATTTCCTTGGTGCTTCTATAAAAAAGTGCCTGTGCAATAAGAGGTCACCTTCACCATGATCTCACCTACACCAACTCTTACCTTCTTATGGATGGGATTTCTTACAATATTGTCTCATAAACAATACTAGATTTACCTAAAGATGAGTGTCTTTGCTGCATATCCAAGTTGCAGAACACTCGCTTTTATATGCCTATGCTCAACATAAACAGTATGTAGATATGTTTCTTAAATAAACTAAAATTTAGGTCTAACATCATACAATAAATCTAAGATTTCTATTCTGCAGAACATCATATGATAAATCAAAGAACCGTGTTCGGCAGTTGGGTTCCCTTACAGCCATGTGGTCGAACGGATATGCTTCCAACGGCACATATGCATACATACCTGAGTAAAATGACCCCTCTCTCCACAGATCTTGCATATCATTTCTTCATCTTTTCTTTTCTTCCAGTTCCTTTCAGTCGCCTTGGCTTTAGCCTCCCAAACCTTCGCCTCTCTGCTCGTAAAATCAGTTGGTACAGCATTAGGATCTCGAGGCTCATCTTCCTCATCAGATTGACTACCAGAAAAGGGCCTCTTGTTTGTATCTCCTTTTGGTGTGGCAGAGTCAGATTTTGATCGCAGAGGACCAGCATATTCCTTCCCATAAATTTCATCAAAAAGCTCACCATCTATTTCAGGGCTTGGTTGTCTATCCATTTTGACAAGCCAGCAAAACAACTAATGCCTGCATCCCAAACAACTGAAACTAAATTTACATAGCCAAAAAGCCATTTACCATACTTGGAATTTGTTTGCTCTGATGATCATTGCATGTCTTTGATAGCCTATATGACTATGTCATTCACTCGAGGGAAGCTTGTGCAACAAACATAATGTAGTACAAAACACTTTTGATAAAAAATAAATAAGAGACTAAATTCTTTGCTTTAGCTATTAATCTCATTGGCAGGGACGAGTACATTACAGAAATTGCTTAACATTTGCAACTACCAGGACAGATTGTTTGAACTACAATTCTAAGAAACATACTATTATGTCACCGGTCAAAGTCTAGCATGTTCCTAGCAGTCTGCAGTGACGGTCTTATACTTTAAGGATATCAGAAAAGCAATTAGCATATGAAAGTAGCAACCAGAGGTTTCCTTTTTCTAAAATAATTACGAACAAAATTTCTTGAACAACCACACTTTGCCGTGCTGTGAACCCAAGGTGACAGATTGGTAACTTACTAATATTTCTTGATACTGGTGTAGACTATCTTGAAAAGCTCTAAATGAGAACAATGTTTGAACCAAAAAAAGAGTTAGATATATAATGCATAATAGGCTTCTAAAAAGCTATAGTTCATATGTGCTACTCATCTACTCATAACTCCAGGTTTGGTTTCAAAAACCGAGTCATACATGATCCAGGTAACCTCACAGCAACGCCTCATGAACCAAGAAAGATAACCATATCAGACGATCCAGGCAACGACGACCAAGCACGACCCATGGAGGAGGAGACGGGAAGAGGCGAATCGAACTGACCCAATCCTTTCGACGACGACAGCGTTTGAGCCGCAAATGGCGAGCACGACCGATAGGGATCGGAGGTCGTCGAAACGAAGGGCAGAGAAAGCTAAATCGGAAACCCTAGGCGTCGGGGCTTCGCCATGCTCGTCACGGTCATCTTAAAGCGGAGCGGTGACGACACGAGACAGCAATCTCTCGTCTCGCGCATCGGGAGATATCGGCGGGCATACCGATCACGACCGTCCAATGATACAATGGACGGTCCATATTTGTTGTTGAGATCCACCTGTGTTTCCAAAGAAGCCCGGCCCGGTGGTAGAAGAGTCAGAGCCGGCCCACCAAGTAATTGGCCTTTTCACGGCCCAAATATTTTAATGTAATCTCTGGGATTATCAAAAGCGTATATAGAAGATTATACAAAGTAAGAATATACAAGTATTATATCTAGAAATTTAAAGGACTCTTTCAAAGATCATGAGATTTCAAGAGCGAAAGATTTATTATGACATGATGACCTATTTTACTTGTTTTTTATCTTATGGGATTTTAAAAAGGCAATTATAATTAAATTATGTTTTATGTTGACTTGAATTATCTAATCAAATGATGTCAGATCGACAAAAAAATAATTATTACTTGATATCTATATGTGGAATCTAAATAGATAAGAGACTGGAACTAAGTGGCGTTGGAATTATATTTAAAACTCAAAAATTTGTATAAAATATTTATTAGTAGGTATAATATTTACCTCGATGAAAAGGCATGACCTTTGATAATACCCCTTCATCGTAGCCTTTGGACACATTTTAAGCTTTATAAGTCGAGTCTTAAGTAGTTAAATTAATTATAATATTATATTCATTCATTCCAAGATGAATATTTGTTTTATTCCCTTATTCCTCTTTTTTTATTATTTTCTTCTTTTAATTAAGTTTAATTTTAATTTTAATTTTTTAATTTATTAAAAAATTTTAAGTCATGCTAGCATGAGAGATAATATCAACTCTTGTATATATAGGAAATGAGATTTCGTCTTTCGTCTTGTCTTACGATATCTCTGTATTCTTTCTTAAAATTTAATCATTAAAATTCTTAATTTTTTTAATCAAAAACTGTATATCCTAATTTTTACTCCACCAGTTAGTGACTAATTCATTCCCTTTGGTTTGGAATCATGGATATGATTATGGAGAAGTTTTGGCTTCACAAACTCTTCTTTTCACCTTTGTATAATGGCAAGGAGGCATTTAAAAATAGAAGTAGTAATTCAACATTGGTGCAATGCAAACACATTTAATGTTGCTTTCATGCAAACACAATGCAAACACATTTTAAGTAGGCAAATGTCACTTGCCAACATACTATTATCTCCCTCCACAATCACCCATCCTTATTGCAGATTGCGAGGCGATTCATTCCGCATGACCAGCTTTTTGCACACTAGGATGAAAATTATCATTCAAGCAACACAGAAGAAACTATTTTGTCCTTTATATTACCTTATGCAGCGTAATAAGAGTCGTGCACATGCATTTGATTACTGGGAAACACTAAAATCATCGTTTAAGGAAATTTGTCAAGATTGTCTCAGCTACATCGTGTTCATAAACAAAAGGTAACCAACTGCTTATTGAAATATCTGAAGATGCTTGAGCCTACCTAAGCTTTAAGGAATACGCCGTAGAAATATATATATTAGATGAACCCATAGGATCTGGGAGCTTTAATCATGATGTCTCAAAAACATGCCGTGGTGTGGAGCTTAAATACCAATTTGAAGTCCCTTGAATGAAAGGGTGACCGAGTGACAAGTTGTCGAAAATAATGCTGTTGCAGCTTGCTGAAGCATATCATTTTGCGTACAAAACATCTTCCCATGGATGACGATAGAGTGGCTGTTTCAATCTCTTCTGATCAAAGGTATGCCTGTGGATTCCAAATAAAAAATGTTAACATAAACAAACATGCTGTTTGAATTAGGAAAAAACAAAAAGGATTGAAGGATCAGGTAATGGTTGTTAATCAACGGCAGATTAACTTGACTATGCAGATGGTGAGACAGTTTAGCCTACAGACTATGTTTGTCAAGCTGCAACACAGTCATACAACTTTTATGCAGCAGGTGCGTCATTTAGCAGTGTAGTGAACATGCCTATTAACTATAATGTCACTAAACAAAGAAGTATGCACAAACTTGACATAGTTGATGGAGCAATAGTAATGAGGAATCAGGAGTTTGATACAACAGAATGAAACAATGAAAAGAAATATGATAAAATGGAATGATGATAAGATATTCAACTCACCCAATCAGACCAACAGAGCGTGCCAACACAAAGAGACCATTTAGGTAACCAATCTCAACGATCTCATCAATCTCTTGTTTGCTGAACATTCCACTACCAGCCAAAAGATCCAAGAAAAGAGATCCAATTGCCCCATCCACATTCAGAACCAAGTTGTTGGCCTTGGAGAGAGTATAGGTCTCAACTTTAACAGCATATTCCATGTACTTTACAGATGGGAAATGAGTATGCGCATACTGTTGCAGAAGCTGTACTCTCTTGTCTCTGTTGTCTCTACTTTTAATCCTAATTGAACAAGAAAATATCAAATATTAGAAATTCCAATTTTTAGTTGTTGGAGTATGCCAAAATATCAGACCTGAATGATTGTTTCATCATGAACCTAGATAATCAAAAAGTACTATGCAACTTCACATACATCAAAATGTTAGACTATACCCAAAACATATCCAATCCATGCACAAAGACAAACAAAACAGCAAAGGTGGCATGAAACAGTATTGATTAACAAATGATTACACTGATTTATGATTACCAATTGTAGGAAATCCTTCCTAATCAATGAAGGTGGACAAGAAAAAAGAACACTTCACTGTCATCTTGGAATCGAGATGTCCTCAACAGTTGTATGTAAAATCGATCCATGCAACAGAAGATATATGCAAATTTATTACATGTGGATGCATTGCCCTTCCTGGAACAGCTTAAAAAGCTAACGAAAATCCTCTAAACCACCCAAAATTTCTCCATGTGGCTTCAAGTAATTTTTATTTAGAAAATATTAGGTTTGTATCTATTAAACCCTGGCAAAATGAATCACAGATTTTCATGCCAAATATACCAATTAATGCCAGTTGTGTGTACCATAATGGTACAGCATCAAGTGTAATTCCATTATTCCATGCTGACAGATTGACCAAATAGTGCATCGCCTGTGCCATACCATGAGGGGAAAGACTTGCTAAGTTTGATTTGTTGTGTTTCTCCTTACTTTTAGGTAATTTTTGGTATTTGCTTCAATATATAAGTGCGTCTACACTATATATTAGGTTGGGAAAGTTTTAGGTCATTGGTACTCAAGAAGGACAGTTAAGTTCTTAGAATTTGAACCTAAATATGTTTGGTCAATAGTGCTGGGAGGATCGACAACTCAATTCTATCAACTCAAAATCAATGATGGAGGCTCCAATTGAAGATTGGTTCCATCAAAATGATTTGTGATGTTTAGAACATTTAAGATACAAAAATTTGACTCCAAAAAATTTTAGGTGTGCCCTGAACTAATAAAAAATAAATGGACTAAAAATTTAGTTTATTTCACTTAACAATCCAAATGGTTACTCACAATCTAAATAAAATTAGATGAATGCATAAAAAAAATCAAATTGTTCCATGCTGCTAAAATTGCTTTGTTATGTTCAATTTATGCATTGTTATAAAAAAAGTTTGCTTTTTTATTACTGTGATTTCAAATATCATACATAGTGTTTAATGAAGCCAATCTGCCATTTGAAGCCATAATGGGATCAGAAGAAATCATTATATTCCAACAAATTATGAAACAAAATTAAACTTGCTATTTGAGAGACTGTATAATATAAATTGCTTATTTATTTTTGTCGCAACAAACTATATGAGCAACTCTCACCAGAAAGTCATATCCATCCAATCAATGGAATCACATGACGAATAAAAATAAAGAAAATCTTGCAATTAATCACAGATCTCCAAAGCCACGAATCTGATAGCCTATTCTGGTTCAAAATCATAATGGAATCCATTGATTAGATAGTTGTGATTTTGTAGTGAAAGTAGATCAATCTTGTGTCCAATTAAGAACATCATTAGTATAGATTGAGCATTTTTTGTATTATATAATGTGCTCAACTAGTCATTTCGACTTTCTCCCATAATGGGCTGGAATGCATGACTTGTACATCCCATCATGATCTCAACTTGTTGGCCATTATACCAAGTTGGGAGAGAACAATTTAGTCCTATATTAAGAGTAGTTAAATTTGAGAAGGCATGAAATGTGTATATACACATGACTTGGGAGTTTAATCTCACATGAACAAGTAAGAAGCCTGAGGTCAAACGGCCTTAACAAATATATTTAACCTTCTAGTCTAACCTACTCTTATTTTATTCTAATATATTTGACATAATCGAAATAAAAAAGCTCAACATAGGATGAATAGAGGACATACTTTAAATAATTTTGAAGATGTTCTGTTAGTCATAACTCATAAGTGTTTTTAACCTAAGATGATTAAAAAATCATATCTAGAGATAATAATTTAAATTATTGATGAGCCTGAATGATCAAAGTAACTCTTTTTTAAATATTAGTTAATTCAACAATTATAACATTTAGGTGACACAAGTAGCAATATTTTATTGGTCCTACTGGTATACATGTAGACATATATATGCATATGCATTAGTATATATAATAGTTTAGTGGTCCTTGATACATGTGAATATGTATCAAGGAACATTTTTACTAACAAAAAACCATATTGACTGCTGGTTGGTCCAGTACAAATCATTGTACTATTCTATACTAATGGGAAAGTTTTGAAATGAAAAGATAGCTGATAAAAACCAAAAAATAAGGACACAGAAGGATGGCCTATTCATTGATCACAATCATAAATGAGGGTAAAAACACGTGCATGTGTATATGTGTAGACATTTTATATGTGTGTGTATGCATGTGTATATCTGCATATGTAAAAATGCATCTGCATGAATGTGTTTACATGTATATGTGTCAAGGAACGTCATGCCAATCAGCACATGCTGAAACAGTCCAAGAATACCATTCCCAAAAGGTACTAGCACATGTTATGGTGTATCATTAAGGAGCTGCCAACATATGGTTATCGACAGTCAGCATGACCCATCAAAGACATTACCCTGTGCCATGAAAGGGCAATTCTTGATATGTATTTGTATGCATACATGTATCTTTATATATGAATTATACATGAATTAGAAATAAATATTAAAATATAAATGCAAGTGGTTGCAAAAGAGGGGCTTGATTGATAATAAAAGAAAGTCAAATATTTTAACAAGAGATCCTGCTAGAAATGGTGGACGGTAATATTAGAATTCCAGATATTTTCTTGTGCTTTAGGGGAAGTACCTGTGCCCTATCCCAGGTACACGAATGCCCTTCTTTTTCATACTTTCAACAAACTCGTAAGGAGCGAGACCCTACAAAGTATATATGGTTTGCATGTAGAAGAAAAGAATACATTTTCAAGAAGAAACTGCAAATGCTAACTAACTCACTTTGTCATATGCATCCTTGAAGTATCGAGCAGCATCATCAATTGCACCACCAAATCGAGGACCAATTGTAAGCAACCCTGTGTTCATAATTATTTTACTTTTTATTAGAGAAAATGTACAATTACTTATAAGATACTGTTCTAAAGAAATTAGTAGAAACATTTAATACAATTATTGACACAAACTAACTGGCAGAGAATACCTGATACAAGACTGGAAACTAAATCCTTTCCAGCTCTTGCTGTAACTATTGTATTATGAGCACCAGAAACGCAAGGACCATGATCAGCACATAGCATTATACATATCTGACAGTGATTACATGGTGCAAGATAATAAATACAAGAGTAAAAAAAAAATCTGCTGGATACATATGGTGCTGATTAGAGGTTTAACTTATCAACATAAACAACCTATCAAAAGCAAGTAGGAAACTTGTCATAATTACTAAAAGTATAGGAAAAACATATCCTTGCAAACCTCGATGAATTGGGTGCAATAACGGGGAAGACTACGTTTGAACCACAAGAGAGAGATTACATCACCAACACCATAACCTCGTTCAATAATAGTAGACATAGGTACACCAGCATAACATGGTTCTTCACCTACAGATGGATGTGTGCTTGAGAACAATGCTGAATGAAAGACAATAGATTGCAACTGCAAACAAGCCATAGTCCAACCTCTATCATCTGAGATGGTCGAAATGATATGAGTTGGAGCCCGGACCTTCCCACTTTTTATTGCAGTCTTGAGGTCCTCAGGAATTTGAGGGGGTTTGACTTCAGATACAGGTGGTATCTTTCCTCCTTCCACCTAACATAAAATGACCACAAAGAGTATGGTCAATAAGACATGCTTGCCAAAACACAAGAAACTTCCTGCCTAAAGAAAGAACAAAAAATTAACCACATCCATCAACAGAAAATGGATCAAACCATAGGAACAACAAACCAGTTTCTCAAAAGTTTCTTTGATTGCATTTTCGAAAGCTTCATAAGAAGAGGGAACAACTGCTCCAGCTTCTCTTAGTGCCTGGTTTTTTGCTTGTGCTGATTCCAATTCACCACCACTTTTAGCACCCTGGTGTGATCATACAGCATATGTTAAGAAAAAAAGCACCACACTATTATGTTCCTTTTCATGATCATGATAATAACACCAATTGCAGATAATTGCAGAAATCAAAAGAAACAAGATAAAAAGGCTTCAACTTACAGCATGACCAAACTGAACTTCTGACTTGAAGAGCCGAGCACAGGTTCCACTAACCCAAGCAATCACTGGTTTTTGAACTTTTCCTTCTTTTAAAGCGTCAACTAGTGAATACTCATCTCTACCACCCAGTTCCCCCAGCACAACCATCATTTTTACCTAAGATAAAACACAATTTGAGAAAAAAAAGCTGTCAGACACTGAAATTTGATCTTTCATTATGAAGAAAGCATATACTTATGACATCAAAGAAGAGATTTTTTCCCAGCTAAAATTGTCAGCTACATGGATGCATTCTTCCATTCAGCCCTAAATTTTCATTGGTAATAATCTCCATCATGCAATTCTTCTAGTTTGAATTTAGTTTATAACCTTTAATGGAATGCTAAATTCATCATATCTTCAATTAGTAATAAGCATCAACTTTGGTTATGAAATGAGTTTTTATTATATACTTTCAATTTTCATATCACATCAAACATTCATCTAAAGCATTCTAGTCATCTCTGAATTCTTTAACTTTGTGGATATGATGCTTCCGACTAAACCAAATTTTCAACTCTTTCAGCATTTCCTTATAAAGTTTTTTGTAGAATTTTCCATTTAATTCAAGGGCAATAGTAGCTAAGCAATATGCTAAAGCCTAAACACCCATCTCTATCTAAACCATACTCTTTAAAAACATGATGAGTTTTTTTACCAATTTCTTTCCCGTTGAGCAACAGATCCAAGATATTGAAAATTTTCACTTTGTAAAATTTCATACTTATAAATTAATCTATACAATCATTCCTTATCTCTTGTTACTGTTTTTCCCTTTGTATATTTTGTCCTTAATCTCAAGTTAAAAAAATTAATCCAAAAGTTTGTCACCGAAAGGCTAATTTGCTTTACCAGTAACTAAAACAATGTCGAGGGCAAGCAATATAAGACCCAAAATTTTGTGTTGACTGTGCTTTATAATTATTCATTCTTAGAACAAAGTTCATATATACTTTTGTACAGGGATGTCCAATATAGCTTTGGATGGATGTATCCAAGAAGGTCTTTTTATTGGGTAAGAGGTTTAAAAAGCATTTGTTACAATAGACTTTTAAACTAGCCATAAAAATGCCTTATGGAGCTTGTCTATCTCTCCTGGACAGAATCTCAGATCAGAATTTAAATAAGCCTCAAAGGATTCATAACCAAGTTAATATCTGAAAAAAAATGATAATAAAACATAATCAGTAAAAGACTTAGGAATACAATTAAGTTAATATTATGATCTGTCCTCTGTCAAACAGGACTGCATCAATTTTCAGCTAATTTAGGCCAATTCCAATCTAACTACCTTGGCCAGTTCTTGCTAGGGCTAAAATGGCCCTCATAAGAGCTTGTAAAAATCCTAAGATTCCTAATGTCAATCGAAACAGGAAAAGAAAGTAGTACATTTTGGGAAAGGACGATTCATTCCTATCAACAGGAATACCAAATCCCAAACAAAAGCCACTTCAGTTCAAGTTCAAGATGGAAAGGAAGACTTGAAGTTGCATCATACCTCACTTCATTTAATAGGGTAGACATTTCTATTATTCTGTGATTTTTCAGGCTTCTTTTATAGTTTCTCTAGTAGCTATTTTCTGGAGTATTTGGAGTCCTATTCTAAGTCTACCTAGTGCCTTAGCATTTAGACAGAGGTCTAGTAGAGGCAATGCAATCTATTTGACTATTAGGATTATATTTTGAGTGTTACAGAGTTGTCTTTTGGTAGGTTTGTATTGAGCAACAAGATTAGTTTTTCTCACAAATATGAGAGCTTGTAAAGCCTAAAGACTATACATACAGTATTTACTTATCCTTATCATTGCTTAATAGAAGTAGAATAATTAAAATTTTCCTTTTTCTCTTGCATTCTTTCTTGGAAAGCTTTTTCTCCTTCTCAAATTAGATGAGCTGCCCTAGCTTCCCCCAGCAATTTTCATCTTCCATGACATTTATGGAGATCTGTGTATCAACACCATTGTCATATGAACCATGACATCAGCCCAATAATACACAAGGCCACTGTCATATGGTATTCCTTTGTCCAAGACAAGGTTCAAAAAAGGATTCTTATTACCAACACCAACCTCTACTCAGGACCAATTTGGTATTGATATCGAAATGTATGAAGTGTGGTATGGGTTAATATTGGACTATGAATCAGTATTAATCACACTAATCGACATGATCCTTTCCTTTTTTATTATATATTTAAGATCCCATTTTCTCTTTTTTATGTGTTTGTGAAAATATAATAATCATATAATAAAAAAGTATAATTTCTACAATTATCTAACTGATGACTCAGGAGGCATATATTCAAATATCATACTTTAGTTCAACAATGTATGAGATTAGAAACTATACATAGCATACATATATGTCTTATTGTTCCCATGTACTACGTTTAATTTTTCAAATCTGCCCTAGATCCTCATAGATCTAGGCTGGATCTTGCGGTCACAACAATAATTCATGAACAAATTCTTGAAGATCAAGGACAATCTGTGATCTATGTGCATCAGTTGTGTTGCCAATCAATATGATGCCCACAACAATATGCATTTGGACAGAGTACAAATGGTATGCTGCTATGCATTACTAAGTGGAGTTATAAAATGTTAATTATGTCCTCTAGTTTCTCCTTTTAAATCCACGACATACTTGATGTTATCTTTGTAAATTGGGCAAAGTTTAGTGCTTTAAATACCTCGAGGCTGTAACCTTGAGAAACTTTGGAAATTATTGGAAGAAGCTAATTTATATTTGATCCATATTTGCCCCTTTTGATTTGGAAGCAGACTAAGTTGAATATAGGGCAACCAAAATGATGAATCATATTCAAAATGAAGCATCAAATGATGGAAAAAGTTTTTTGATCTTGATGAAAGGAATATGTACAAGCCTCAGCTTTATGTTCTCTTTCTCGTAGCTGCCAAGGAAAATTTGCATTGGAAATCTGGTTATAAGAATGAGAAATTAAAAAATATGACCACAATTATGCTTAATATTATTGTGCCATTTGTAAATCTTATTATCAAATTACATTTAAAAAACTCATATAATGTGCTAGAATGGTTGTGAACATTATGGAACACACCTTCGCTGATAAAGAAACGCCATGTACTTGAGTATTCAGTAGAAATTACCAGAACTTCATAAAAAAATTCCCAGCACTAATTTTATGTTGACATGTATTACCTGAGGGATATTGTTAAACCGCAGAACATGGTCAGAAAGGGTGGAACCAGGAAAAACATCTCCTCCAATTGCAATTCCTGAAAAGATCAAGAGAACTTGTACCAGGACATTAACAAAATAAGCTCAACAACATGCATACCCTCATAAATTCCATCCGTTACACGTGCAATTGTGTTGTAAAGCTCATTTGACATTCCTCCCTGTAAGTATAATCTCAATTTTGTCATGAATAGAAATAATGATTATTCTCAATTGTCCAAACGAAAGACTAGGAGAAGGAAAAAAATTGGCAGGCAAGATAACCAAAACAACATTAAATGACAGAACAGTATTGCCAGATAAATGACATAAATTAGTAATGCATTACATAGTGGAAAAGTTAATTGAAACCAAGCTAACATATTTATCCTCTTGGATAAATAGTAAATCTTCAAAATGTTATTAATGAAAATGCTTGCTAGAAAAAATTCATGATCATTCACAAGGTAGTCACAGTTGACCCAGTACAAAGACACTGTTGCATGGAGGTAAGGATGTAAAAGGGATGATCTAAGGTCTGTGGACAATCAGACTTGGAGCTATTGTGCCATATATGCTAGTAAGACCAAGGACCTTTCAGGATCATATTATAGTGCAATAAGGGAATTGATGTTCCGCATGGTGAAGGCCAGGAAAACTATCCCAGATAACCAGATTCACAGCCTACCTGCTTAAGTCTGTCATTGTACACAATATAATTGTCATGGCCCAAATTTGGGACAATATAATTGTATTACCCCCTTTTAGATCCTAGGCCATCAATACTGCAAATAATGAAGACTAGAAATGTTGCACTACACATAGATAGAAGTCAAATCTGCTAATGATCCCTAGAGTTGAGGAAATGAGCACCTCTTTCAAAAGAATAAGATTGCTTTTGGTGGCGCAAGCTAATTATCAATTCTGTCAAGAAGGAGAAATCATGAAAGATTAAGATATCTCTATATAACCTAGAACAAAGAGGTGGCATGGCCATCAAAATAATGACATGAATTTATATGATTAGCAACAAATCTTAAAGATTAGACGTGACATAGCATGCAGATGGTGTCATCAGCTGCAACCAGCTTGCTGATCCCCAACAGTATTATTTTTTTACAAACATTCTGGTTGCAAATACCTAAAGGAATGAGGGGTTTTTTAATATTATCCTGCCAAATTATCAGAGGGATAGAAAGATTTTATTCTCGTCAAAAACCTCAAACCTCAGAATAGAGAATCTCTCTCCTCATCAAAAACATTTTAGAACCAATAATATAAGATCCCTTCTGACTGAACAAATAGTAGACAATACTAGTTTGCTTTATCATTATATAATTAAGTATAGTAGACAATACTTATACATGCTCCCATAAATCCCGCCATGCCACTGCCTCCATCAAGTGTATGCCTTTCCATCCTCTCCTTTCCTCATCTCTCTCTCTCTCTTTCTCTCTCTGCTTGTAGCAGTATGGGCTGGACTTGTACCAACACCCAATATGCCGGTGCATACCAATAATATACTGGTCTGGCTAAGAACCAGTTTACTTGATGAAATCTTTCAGGTGCAACCAGATATTAAGTCTCACTAAATTCCATATGACTTTGATCAAGACAGAAACTATACAGTACATAGAGTACAACTAATTTGGAATGCCATAATAGGAGACATACCGATTTAGACACAAATCCAACTGACCCAGGCCTGTAGAGCTTGCATTTTATTATATTATCAAGAGTTCCAGCTGTATCACCAATCCTGAAAGCTCCAGCCTGAATGCCCCCAACAGTAGCAGGACCAATGACAACCTTCAAGAAACTTAAGAATCAGTGTCTGTCTATGATAATATTCAAATGGATGATATTTGTAAAGCATTGGTTAAAATAGCTATAGGTTTTCCAAGATTCAATTCAATAGACCCAAGGTGATGATGGCTCATGGTTCCAAACCTTGTTATTGGCTCTTGCATAAGCAATTAACTCCTTGGTATCTGATTCTGGAACACCTTCAGCTATAATGGCTACAACTCTAATAGTTGGTTGATTCAGAGCTGCCATGGAAGAGGCAGCTGCACTGCATATATGGCAACAAAACAGGTGATGCAAATACAAATTTACAGTTACTTATTTCTAACCTAACAAATGAAGGAACAAATTAGCTTACCTTCTAAATGATGCAAAGTTGATAAAGACATCAGCAGTTGGGTGAGTTGTACATGCTGTTTCAATACTGTAGTAAATAAAACAAAAATAATCTATCAAAATGATCATATGTAATTTTATAAACGCAAGTGAATCATGTTACAATTAACTGAATCATGTTACTAATAACTAAGAACAAACAACATTATCATTGATTCTAAAATATAACAAATATTCATTTTTTTAATGTTTAATAATACAATAATGCACAGTTTTTAATGTTGGACCAAAGGTCTTCATTGAATATGCTTGTGTATATTTTTTAATGAATATCCATTTTTAAATCTTTAATGCATAAATAGACATTAACCATATAACCACAGATCTATACTAAATATGTCCATACATTTTTTTAAAAAATGACAAAATAATCTAAATCTTTATTGATCTTGTTGTAAAAAACACTTAAGACACCAAAGAACTGTAGGTCTTTATGTCATGTAGTCGTTTTAATTATATCCAGTTACTTCTACTTAAAAAAGTTGTAAATCATTGATGGTAAGGTGGGCTGAACTCATTCTCGGTCATGATCATTTTAGAACTGTAAGAAAATAGTGATCTTTCATATTTCAGTATGACAAGGTAAACCACCCCATTTTCATGAAGTAGACCTACACACAGAAAACATGCAGATTTATATCCCCTGCCACCTAGCATGGTTTTAAACTTTTAAGACTTCAACATATGCAACTCAAATTGGGCTTTGGACCATAACTCAAACAACAGACAAAATATGGCATCATTCAGCTGTGTATATATCAGAAGAAAACACACACTATCACCGAAGGCATTATATGTTTGCAGTACCAACTAAAATATACATTTAAGTTTAACAAAGATCAGTAGAAGTTTGAATTTACCTTGAGTGAACTGGAATTGCAATCTCCTCTTGTCCAAAAAATAGTTTTTGAAACCCTTCAGAACCTGGATTAACTATTCCAGCCACAGAAGGTGTTTCTCTCCCTGTGAAGAAGATAAAACGATGACCATACTTTATAACTGTAATTGTAATACAATCATTTCATTTACTGAAAATATAAGAAAAGAAACAAAACACACCACAAAGGAAGTCAAAATCAAGCATCCTCTGTATGGGAAGTTGCTTATAGTTGTAAAACAAAGCTTGTGTCTTCTGTGAAAATAGTTGTCCGGTGGCCATGTCGTGGAAATGCAACACCGGGAACCTGCAAAGAACACCTAATAAGGACTAACCAACATGAATATAAACGTTACTCCGAAAAAAAGGAGCAATGGAACATCAAAACTCAAACATGATTTCTTTTGCAATTACCTAAAGTTTACATGGAATTTTTTTGCCACACCTTGTTTTTTCATTTAAAAGTTAGACATCACAAAAAAACATGGAAAGCAGGGAAATATAACCTAAAATATTGAAACAAACTTCTTTTCCTTTACAAAGGTTCTTTGTCACGACTGTTTTGTAGCTTTTGCTTCACTACTGTAGATTCCATTTTGAACCAACTTAGCTCAAATCAGAAATCTTAAGGGTATCGGCACCGACTGTTACCGCAAACTGGCAACGAATGAAGGCTCTAGTCCCGGAAAAACACGTCCGCAGAGCTTCACGCACGAAGAGCGGATGTCATAACAAGAAAATGCTGATCTAAAACCACCAAAATAATTTCCTATGATTTAAAGAGTATCATTAACTAGGATGGACAAAATGCGATATCTATTGGTCAGATCAGCAAAAGAAACAAGCCAAAAGAAAAAGGGGAAAATAATATCTCGATTGACCACGATCCCTCACCACGGGCCGTATTCGATGCCACATTGCGAAAACCGAACACGAGATCCAATCAAAATGGACGCAATCAAGCCCTAATTAAGCAAACAGCTGCGCGGCGCAGATCCGCACACAAACACGCAAGTTCGCGGTACAAATACGATGATGAACAACAACTCAGGAATCGAATTCCAAAACTAATCCCAGGACATTTTCGACGAAATTACTGCGAGAACGAGGACGCACTCGATTAATCTCGAGGGAAGGCCCGCGATGAGAAGGGGTGGAGAACGTCCGGTGTGGTGAGGGGCATTTCGGTGGGAGAGCTCTGCGGACTTTAAATGGTGCGGCGGGAGGTGTACGACCATGGGCACGTCCGGGAAATGCTTCTCGTCTTAACCATTCACGACTTAGGTCACGACCAGCACCTCTTGTAGCTTCAGTCGGTACAAAGCCACGTTTTCGAGTTGTAGCTTCAGTCGGTTCTCAAGTCGGCGGCATCAACAGCACTCCATGGGAATCACGAGAAACCTTCGTTCATCTATTAGTCGCCAAAAACACCTGCCGGGCGAGGAGACGCAGCGACGTGACTCTCCGGTGGAGCTCACCAGCAACGCCAACCCTGCTACCGGTCATCGGGCAGGTGGAATAACGGGTACGTATCAAACAGGCGGGTTCGGAGCCCTTTGGTGAAGCTGGTCGGTGTAGGAGATGGAGAAGAGTGTGGAAATTACTCGAGTATCCCTGGAGCAATCGTTAATCCTGTGTGTCGGGGAGGGAGGGGCCCGCAGTGGGTTTGGTGAGCAGGAGTTACTGGATTCTGACGCGTGGACGATGCTTAAATGGGGGATCGGCTGAGAGGGACGGATCATCGTAGAAACGTGAGAGTCGAGTGTCGAATGGCCACGGAGCGATGAACGTAATTTCCGTAGCAAGGAAAACACCAGCTCCAACGCACGGTCAGTGAATCTTTAGATATCAGCGATGGCACTGATATTGAGCGCCACGTTTTAAACACGGAGTCCGTCCACTAATCCGATTACCGAGGAAAATGTGAGCGAACAAACAAGCACGTGAGGTGCACGATGGGTTCGAGATCAAGTAGCTTTTGATTTTGGAGACTTGATTTATTTGTTTTATCTCATTTTTAATCTAAAATGTGGTGTTTTATATACGTTTTCTTTCTATATGATGGATGATCGTCATCGACCGGAGCCAAGATCGTCATCGACCGGAGGCAAGATCGTCATCGACCGGTTCTTCATCATATTATTTGGACAATTTGAACCTTTCAAAATATGCATTTACTCGTCAATTTTGAAAATTTTTTAGCTCTATTAAAAAAACTCAATTATTATCATAAAATATTGGCATGATTGGTGTATGGAAAATCCCTAAAGAACTGAAGCATCAGAAACCGATGGAAGCATGCATGTCTAGTGACGATTTAGCAATCAAACCCTCTCTCATTCATGAACAAATTTACGACGATGTTATCTCTGTAGTACCTCATTAACTATTCTTAGATTTAAAAAAATTATATTAAAATCTCTATAGTTATCAAAATAAAATATCAAACTCTATTTACCCTAACGTCATTTATTTCATCGACAAAAACACAAAAACGATGGATAAAAAAATAATTTCAATATTCCAATTACGTTTTTGATGGTGACAAATGATGATACTATTAGGGGTGATGAGTGATTGTTGTGAATAAAAAAGAGCGATGACGAAAAATCTCTATAGTTATCAAAATAAAACATCAAACTCTATTTACCCTAACGTCATTTGTTTTATCGACGAAAGCACAAAAACGATAGACAAAAAGATAATTTCAACATTCCAATTACATTTTTTATGGTGACAGATGATGACACTATTGAGGGTGATGAGTGATTGTTGTGAACGAAGAAAAGCGATGATGTAGATATCGATGCTTTGCATCTACATCAACGCCGATCAACAACTGCATCGACTATCGATGTCGACATAGATAGAAAGCACCATCAATATAGTTACCGAGGAATGAAAAGGTTATTCGATATCTGCATCGATGCCAACGCAAATGCAAAGCACCACTCGACATCTACATGGGCACCAACAATGATGCAAGAAAGGACAACATTGCTATGCATATGCATCAACACTGATGCAGATGTCGAGCAACCCTTTTATCGCTCTACATCTGCATCAATGTTGATGCATATGCAAATACAAAACATCGCTCCACATCTACATCGATATCGATGCAAATGCAAAACGATATTGCTCTGCATTTACGTCGACGCCAACAACGATACGAAGAAAGGCGATGCCTCTCTACATCTATGTTGATGCTAACACAATTATCCAGTGGTACCAACGTAAATACAAAGCATCAACATCTACGTTGTCACCTCACCTCTTATCGTCGCTCTCCCTCATCCATAATCGTTTGCCATTATCAAAAACGTAACTGAGATACTAAAATTACTTTTTTATCCATCATTTGTATGCTTCCGTCAATAAAACCAATATCATTAGAATAAATGAAGCGAGATATTTCACTTTCATAACTTTCATAAGAGATTTAACTATAGAAAATAATCAATCTATAATTAACCCACAATTTATCACTAAGAAATAATTGCTTGATTGATACAAAATTTTTTTTTTTTTTAACAAGATCTACAATAGATCGAGGCAACCCCTCCATGCAGAGATCACCGGTGACATAAGGGATTCCCTACGTGTTTGCAATCTCAGAAAATTTTTGTCTAGCTGAAGAAAACATCTACAAGGCAACTGATATAATTGGTCGCACAAACACAAAATAAATGGCAACTATATCACTCAAAGAACCATAACCAGGTATCAAAGATAACTTGAAGATAAATCAAATTAGATATTTTATCTAAATAAGCTTTTTTTTGTTTTAAAATTTAAGCAATTTGGTAGAACTAGCACAAGGATTCTTTAATAATCTTAGGCAGCTGATATAGACAAAAAAAACCATAAAAGAGGGAACCTCAATTTCTAGAATTCAGAAGTTGAATATAATTGTACTGACAAATACAAATATAGAACAGTAGGAAGACACTTCAACTTATTATATTCTTCAATTGTTACAACATATAAAAATCAATAAGATAAACAAACTCAATGCATAACAATCCCAGAAAAGTATCTTTTTTTTTTACTACAATGCTTGTAAAACTATCTGAAGAAAAGGAAAACAAACAAAGATCACACTCACCAAAAAATAACAAAAAATAAAAACATTTAACCGCACAAATGGGCTGAGCTCAGCAACTGGCCCCATATCCCAGAAACCAAATACGATAGAGGGTCAAACCAGACCTGACAAGCGAGTCAAGTAGGATCCGACTAGAAATCAGCAGCCACAAACAGAAAAATGCAATGACAGGCTAGCTTCAAGCCAAAGCATAGGTATAAATATACAATGTTGATCAGTGTTGACCACGCTTAACACGACAACCTAGATGCATTATTTGCTGCAAGGATGTGCCACATATACCCATGAGAACCTATATCGTTTCAAAGGATAGAATAATAAGTTCAAATGTCCAAGTTATCAATTCGTCAACCAAAAATTTAGGTTTGTGAAGTTCCAGCTAGTGAAGAATGAGTTATATATGACTGATAAAATAATCTAGATGATAGAAGAAGCAAACACATTGCCATAAATACATTAGGTATAGATTGATCGTGATGTAACATGACAAAGATTAACAATTTATAGAAAACATGTATCCATACATTAGAAAAACATTAACGATCCCACCCAGAAGGCCGCTTCCTTTCTCGAGGTCTATCTCTCACACTGCAATCAATGAAAACAATAGATCAGAGAGCATTGACATGCCCAATTGTGTGTCCAACAGATACACAATACACATTAGCAAATACACTGTGCATTAGCAATATCAGTCTAACATCAAGATTTAAAGTGTACAATCAGGTTATTTGACCAAGAAACTCTCCACAAGGTTTTAGGATGCTGAAGAAGAAAGTAGAGGAAGTATTCGTGAAACTGGAAAAATCAACTCTATGAATTCTTATCATGTACCCAAGCACAAAATAGTCTGTTTACTTTAAAAAAAAGGGTAAAAAAATCATATCCAATGCTTCTAAGAGAACATTCAATATCAAGATTGCCGTGATTTGCAGTTTTACTGGGATCCAAATGCATCCATAAAACTATAAAAATTCAATTTCAGGAGGCTAACCTTTCAGAGTTCTTCTGGTTCCCATTCTCGATTCTGCTTCCTTCATTCTTAGTGGCAGGAATGAAAGTAGTAAGCGACTGTGCTTTGTATGCCTCCCCACCAATCGAACCACCAGAGACAAAACCAGATAAAGATGGTCTTGTGGTAGAGGATGTGTTACCCTCAGAATTAGAAGAGGCAGCAACAAAATTGCTTTTGAACTGTGCCATCATCCCTGTTCTCAGTGAATTAACAGCAGCAGATCTGCTTGGAACAGAATGAGATGTTGCTGCATTTGCTGTATCAGGATTGTAGCCGATACCAAGCCCAAAATCAACACCACGTACACCTCTCCCACTTCCATTGCCACCTTTTCCTCTGCGTCCCCCCTTCTTTCCACCTGATAAAGGGAATCTTTGTGTTACAACAAAGGCAAGAAAATATTGACTTTACCTCTCTTGGGGTCACATGCAGTAATCCATATACACATACCAGAACCTTTTCTTGCATCACGTTTGGCCCTGAACCTCCCATCCTAAATTTAATAGAAGTTTAGATAAACTCATTTCATGGAGAACTAAAGAAAAATAATGCTCACACTTTACAACTTTGAAGTATATGGTTTATCTAAAGAATAAAAGGTTACATGTCTTTGCAAAAGGAAAATGAATCTGAAAGTAAATTTTAGATGGCACTTCCATGAAGTATCCGATGGAAAATTTGAAGAGCAACACTTCAACAATAAATCATAAAAGAGATGTTTTTATGCTAATTATTTAATGCAGAATGTGACGAAGTTGTACACCATGATGTGGAGAATCAGGACTACAAATGGTTAGATGTCCAACAACTCAAAACTGTTTAATGTGGCAGAATAGCTTTGTTCTTTTAACTTGGGTTGGCCTAGGGTAAATCTTCTTTGAAAAACTGATAAAACCCAACATAGACAGGTTAACTAAAATGGAATTTGTGATGGTATCAGGTTACTGTTGCACACGAGCCCATCATAAGGTGCAGTGTGGTTGGATTGGGACTGGATGCTTGAAAAGTCACATGAAGTAAAGGTAAGTCTTCCTTTTGACCAACCAACCAAGATGCAGCCTTCTATACAGAATAAACAATTAGGCAAATTTGCTGAGACAACCTTGTTCAAAGTGCACAAACAATGAACAAAAAATGTTAAGTCATACCTTCATAGCAAGATCCATTAGCTCAGCAGGGACATCTTGACCAGCAGCTATCAAGCTGTTGACTAATTCACCAGCAAAACGTGCTTCCTTATGTGTGATAAGTGTGTATGCAGTCCCATCTTTATCCCCAGCACGGCCTGTTCGACCAATACGATGGACGTGCATGTCCATATCTCTGGCAATATCAAAATTAACAACTGATTTAATTGACTTTATATCAAGCCCACGGGCAGCAACATCAGTTGCAACAAGGACATGGTAAATTCCCGATTTAAACTTCTGTAAAATGTCCATGCGGGAGGCCTGGTCCTTGTCACCGTGAAGGGCTGCAATTTTAAATCCATTCGGAATCAACTGGCTTTCAATCTCATCCACTGTACCTTTCTTCGAAGCAAATACAAGAACATCCCCATCATCAATCATTCCAGGTAGTTTTTCTAAAAGCCAAGGCATCTTCTCAGCATCAGAAGAAATTACATTAACAACTTGCGTAATGTCCTCATTTGCCGTTCCTACCTCACCAACTGTAACCCTTACAGGATCAGAGAGAATTTCTCTTGCTAAACGTTCAACTTTGTAAGGCATAGTGGCAGAAAAAAGTAAAGTTTGACGATCTGGTCTAATTTGACCAACAATAGATCGTATTTGTGGCTCAAAGCCAAGATCAAACATCCGATCAGCTTCATCTAGCACAAGATAAGTTGCCCTAAGCATTGTAAGGGCCTTCATCTTCAGCAAGTCTATCAATCTTCCTGGTGTGGCAACAACTACTTCACAACCTGCTTTGAGTTCTTTGAATTGGTCAAGTTTGGAGACACCACCATACACAGCTCCAACTCGTATTCCATATGGTTTTGCAAACTTCTTAGCTTCTAGATAAATCTGATGTGCTAATTCTCTAGTAGGGGCACATATTACGCCTATTGGACCTTCTCCTTTGTCAAGTTCAGGCTGATCCATAATATGAACAATCATAGGAAGAACAAATGCAGCAGTTTTACCAGAGCCTGTTTTTGCAATGCCAATAACATCTCTACCAGAAAGTACAATGGGCAGAGCCTGACACTGTATTGTTGTTGGTTTCTCATAGCCCTGCTTTGTGATAGCACCCATTAGTGCAGGAGAAAACCCACATTCTTCAAAGAGTTTGATTGGCTTTGGTACATCAAAACCTGAAACCCGTATGGCTAAACCTTTCCGATATTCTTCAACTTCTTGCTCGTTCATTCCTATAAAACAAAAGAAAGATAAGATATTGAGTATATGTTTCAGAGAATCTTCACTACATACTGACTCCTACATAGCACCTTAAGAGAAAATAAATCAACAAACATATAATTGACAAGGTTTCCTTTGAGGCTTTGCCAGCTTCTGTGACAAAGGGCCTAGAAACAGTACTAATATACAACATAACAACTTAAAGATACCAAAATGTTAAAGTGAACAAGTGAGAACTTAAAAAACACCTTACGAGGCTTTTAGACAGTATAACAATGTCTAAGAAGTCATTCATAGGAATAATAATCATATGCAGCAAAACGCTGCTCATTAGAGGTGCATCTAAACTTTGATATCCAACATGGTATGCAGAATATACACTTAGCACAACTATGAAGAATAACAATGTAGGAAAAAAAAGAAAGCATTTCAGTTTATTTAGAAGAATCAACAGCAGCAACCAACAACATCTAAGGCTATTTAGATTTTAGAGCATAATCTCAAAATTCCAGAGTACTCAATGAAAGCCGATGATTTTGACTAAATTTCATAAATTACCAATGAGGTGCATATTGTATTGCATATCAAAATTGCTGTTATTAGTAGAAGAATTCAATCAGTATATTTCATTCCATGGATGGTGTGAAGTTTCAACCTTAAGCTTACTTGGTCATTATGTTAATCCACATGCAGGCCAAATTAGCATAGTACAAACCGTAACAACAAGCAGGTTAGGTATTCATTAGCAAAACAGAGAGTAACATAATAATCTACTTAAGAATGTGAAGTTATCAGAATCATCTCAGCCATCAAAAACAAGAGAAAAGCTAGAACATTTACCTGAGATCGACGGTTGCTCCTCATAAAAGTCCTTGTTAAACGGCTCATAATCAATGGTGCCATGATCTAATGCTGGAATTGGCTCGATCTTCCTCTTGTCCACTACAATCGGGTTATCGTCTGAATCATATTCAACCATACCCAAATCAACCGCCTTCGCCGCTGCATACACCTCCTCGTCAGAGTCATACCCGGCGTGAAGAGCCTCCGACGCCAGAGTCAATCCAGTGTCCTTCTTGGACCGCAAGAAGCTCTCGACCGGGTCGTCCTCATCGTCGTCCTTGTACTTGTCGTCCTTGTCCTTAGGATTCACAGAGGCAGGAGGCGGCGCCCGGATCTCCTCCTGGATCCCCTCCATGAAGGCGTCGAGTGGGTCAATCTCTCCGTCGTCACCGGCGGGGGACGACCGCTCGGGGAAGTCGGGCTGGTCGTAGTCGATATTGTCAAGGTCGGCGTCCTCATGGTTGTCGTGGCCGCCGCCGCGAGAGGAAGGTGGGACGTAAAGGCGCTGCGGTGCCGATGTGCGCTCAAAGTTGTAGGTGGCGGGGCGGTTGACGCCGAATCCTTCGAAGCCAAACTTCCGCTTCGACATGGCGATCGCGAGATCGAGGAGAAAGAGAAAAAAGGGACTACGGTTCGGATCCTGGAGCCGGAGATAGGGAAGGAGGGAGGAATCCAAGGTCGATATACGGGATTTGGTGAGAGAGGTGGAAACCCTAACAAGGGTTTGGATTCGGGGATTGTGAGAGCAATGGGAAGGGGGAAGAGAGACAAGGCATCAACCAAGTCGAAGGGAGGCAGACGCAGCGACCGATAAGTATCTAGCCGGTCTGGTCGGACCATATCCTCTGATTTCGTTAACGTCGTGTTCTATTTTGAGTAATTGGGTTCGGTTTGGTTCGGTTCAGGTGGGATAATCGGAGGCCCATGAGACTTGCATCTGTGCGACTCGGCCACCAAGTCCAACTCGGCGTCGTGCTCAAAGCCCATATAAAAAGTTGAAGCGCCCCTTTCACCCCAAGAAGAACCGAGAGAGACCTCGAAGTTCCAGTGTCTTCCTGCTTCCGCCCCGCCCTCGCCCTCGCGAACTGTTGCTCTTTTCGTATCTTATCTTCAGATTTGACAGATTTATTCTCTTCCTTCTCTCTGTTTCTAGCTGTTAGTGGTTGCTTCGAAATCGATGGCTGGGGTCTCCAGAAAACCGGACCGAGACCGCTCCATGGTAAGTATTTTCACGAAATCGCATCTCTTTTTATGTTTTCTGGACAAAATTCGAGCCTTTTATTGTGTTGATGAGGAAGCAGTACCTACCTGTTGTTCGTAGACGAGAACAATTTTTTTATCCTCCGCCCTTCTGATGAAATAGGCTTAATGATCTTAACTATGATATGGTGACGGTGAAAAAATGTTAGAATAAGAGCGTAGCCGGGTTTGTTTTGCCACAAAATTCTCTCTTTCGCTTTATATGCTGTTATTGGAACTTAAGAACATTTTCACCGCAAATACTTTGTTTCTTAGGAGTTCAAGGGTTTCTTGAACGACCTGAAAGACTGGGATGACTTGCTTAAGGACAAGGACGAGAAGCTGAAGGGCCATGCCCGCCGGAACAAAAAGCCGGTAGTGTTTTATTTTTTGTTTTCTTATAGGCTAATATTGCAATGTGCCTGATGTAACAGCCAATTCTGCTGTGATTGCTTGGATGCTGAAGATTTCTTACTTAAAAATTTTACTCTAAACAAGTAAACATTATGATGTAAGAGAATAATGCAGTATTATTATATTCTTTCCTCTACTACTACATTCATCTTGGAATTGTCACTGGTACAAGTAGTAAAGTTATCCACTTTTACATAGGTCCTAATACGGTGGCTATATGATCTTTTGTTGGATGTTTCTCATGAGTATATCAAAGAGTCGAAGCACAACATGAATGCAAGACCTGAATAAATAAGTAGTTGAGTTGTTCTTTGGGTGCTCAATGTTTGTGTTTTTTTCTGCGGACCTTTCATTTTTTGACAGATGTGGTGATTTCTGTTATTCTGATTCTCATAATGAGCATATGGCCGCTGGATTTTCTGCCCAAGATGAATCAATGTTGCAAATCCCCAAGTTTCTTTTGCTGAACAGTGAAAAAATCACTGCCAGACTTCTGTATCCATTGTCTTGTCCACTTTTTGCATTGACTGATAATGACATAAAAATTGGTCCTACAGATTATGTTATGTATTTGTAACCATCTGCCTCCTAATCAGGTTTATCATAATCCTTTCATAGATTGAGTTTCAAAAAATGTATTTGGTTCATCAAGAGCCTTTTCTTTTTTTAATCTTGCATAGTTGTGGCACTGGTGACCACATATTATTTGGTCGTCCTTCTGATCTTCATTCTGTCTACTATAACATCTTTGTACAGTTTTAATTTATTTGTGCACAAATGAATTTGAAAGTTGCAACCCTGATGAACTGAAGTCATGCTTAATTATTTGTGGATTCTTCTGTTACAATTAAATTGTATGGAACTGCATTTTTGTTAGCTTGAGAACTGAATATATGGATAATTTGCACTACATATATCTGTTTTTCACGATGCATTCTTGATTTATGATACTTATGCCTGCATATACAGTATAGTGGACTTGCTATGTTGCCCTTGGCTCAATGAGCCTTATTGCATTTAAAATCATTTTGTCCATATTATTTTATTCAGTAACTCCAGGCAGTGGAGTTCATGTATAGTCTGATTTGGCCTGACTGTATTCCAAACCAAGATTTGTTCACAATGAATCCATGGTTACTGCTTTTAGCTTTTTGTCAATCTTTTTTTTTTTTTGCATAGTTATTGGGGTTGATAATAGTAACTGCTTATCTTTTATTCAAATTGCATGAGCTTCAATTAATTGCAGATCTTAGTTCTACTGCTGAGAAGTGAAACATAGTATAGAGTTTGCTTTATGCTTTTCATAGTTTGTTTTTTTTGCTTAACCGGAACTATTGTTATGTTGGAGGACTCACTGCAGAATCCTGGAATTATTGATGGATATAAAGAACCTCCAAGAAAGGTTCCAGCAGTTGGTGTTAAGCCAAAATCTGATGTAGTTTTTGATTTTTCTTCTGATGATCATTCCGCACCGTATGATTATTCAAAATATACTGATGCAATTGGCCAGATATACAGTAGCAATCTGAATGATGAAGCTTTACCTGATGCTGCATCAGAGAAAGAGCTGGTAGGAAGATACTTTTCATGTATAGAATGGTTAGATTCTTCTGTGACAATTGTTATTTCTTTTTTCTTCTTGTAGGGTAACGAATATTTTAAGCAAAAAAGGTTTCTCGAAGCCATTGAGTGCTACTCAAGAAGTATTGCACTATCTCCTACTTCTGTTGCCTTTGCAAATAGAGCTATGGCTTATCTCAAACTTAGAAGGCAAGTTTCTCATGTTATCTGCTCATGATGTTATTGGTTCGACGTTAAAATTTAAGTTATATGTTGTTGTTTTAAAGATAAATTTGAACTTTCTATTATGTTTTTTCTTTTTTACATGTTTAAAGGATTTTGAAGAAATTGTACATTGTGCAAAGCAGGTTGTATTCTAGTTTATGAATTATTTTGTAGGAGCTCTCATGAATTTTTTCTAGGGTTTTAAACTTCAGATACAAGTCTTTGTTTTTTTTTTTTTTCATATTTGTTGCATAAATAAATAACCTTTAAGGTTTGATTTTTTAAAGAAACAAACTGTTACACTTAGGTATATCTTTATTATGTCAAAATTTTGGATTAGTGATTCTAAATCTTAATCTTTGTTTAGTCACTTTCTTCCAAAGTTTCAATATGATGGCTCAGAAGTACAATTCAGCAATAATTTGTGCAGTTCTGTATATGGTCTTTGTGTTGATTAAATGCTAGAAGAGTGTCTTTCCGATTGATAAAATGCTTTCTTCAGATTTCCAGATTATAGTGTATATGATCAGATCTGACCTTTTAGTTTGTTAGGTATTTTACAATCATTCTGGATTCTGTCAGATCCTACATTTATCTGTTTTCATTCTTTATTTTAATTTATAACTTAATTTTCCATTTTAAAATTTAAATGTTCTAATTGTAATAATTATAGCTCTATGTCTAATGTATTATCAGATACTTAATGCAAGTAACTCCACCTTTTAGGACATTGGCAAATTTCAACTATATACACATTAAAGAAATTTGTCTTTGATATCATTGAGAGGTCGGACTAGAGATATCCTATGTCTCTCTGTTCAAGCTTTATTTGCAACTAGTTATGATAGATAAAATGTTCTTTCTTGATGCCTTTGGTCTTTCTTCTCACCAAGCTTTTAAAAATTCCAATCCTATTAGAAAACCTGGTTGTAGAATTCTTGTGGCCTTGTAAGCCAACTGGAAACTTTTATTGTTCTAGTGATTCTATGCTTCAGTTTGGGTCATTACTTGTAATAAAATATTTAAAGCTATGAGGTTAGAACTTCTTGGGCTTTTATAAGGTATTATTGAAAATATGAAAGAAGAATTGGAGAAATAGAGTTGCCAAAGTTGGCTAATTTAGATCTTTTATCTTCCTTCTTCCATGTGATTTTGGTGGTTCTTATTTTTAATTGATGGTGTGCCTTACACATGTTTGTTAGATTTGAAGAGGCCGAGAATGACTGTACGGAGGCCTTAAACTTGGATGATCGTTATGTCAAAGCATACTCACGTAGAGCTACTGCCAGGAAAGAACTTGGAAAGCTTAAAGCATCATTAGAGGGTATAAGATAATATGTTTGGTCTCTTGTAGTTTTGATATCTAGTTCATGCATTTTGAATTCAGTTATCTTGTTTCTAGAACTGGTGATCCTTAAGTTCTGATTACAGATGCTGATTTTGCTGTGAGACTTGATCCAAATACTCAAGAACTTAGAAAGCAGTACTCTGAGATAAAAGCTTTGTATGAGAAGGTAACATCTATGTTTCTATTGGTCTTTTAGCATTTCTAAGTACTGTTGTTTTACCTAAATATTTATGTACATTTTTCTTAAGATGTTCTTTAAACAAAATTATTCAGCAGCTTACATAGGGTTTGTGTTGTATATTTCATGCACTTGGGAAGTGGATACTCATGCATACTTAATGATAAAGCTTTCTGATGTATGACAACACAGGAGCCTGTGATGCCACCATGAGAGAGCAAAGCATAAGTTCTCTCTGCCATGAGGAACTTATGAAGAAAAATGTGCAAAATCAGATTCGTAAACATCAGATTCATCCTTGCCAGAATAATGCTGCAAGGATGTATGCCAAATTTGCTAGAGGAAATGTTAAAATGGGTGTTGGTGATTAGGTACTATAGCGCTAGCCGCTAGCTTCAACTCATTTCTTTGCCATTTGTTGATGAGATACTTGTTATCATGGATATGGAATCCTTTGGCACATCAATTTTACATTGCTTCTCTTCCGCTTGAGAAGGAGATTTGATATTTAATAGCAAGATTATGTACGTTATGCCTTTGGTATACATCCTTGCCAGAATAATGATGCAAGGATGTATTGCAAATTTGCTGCAGGAAATGTTAAAATGGGTGTTGGTGATTAGGTACTATAGCGCTAGCTTGTATAGTGCTAGCTTGAACTCATTTCTTTGCCATTGTTGATGAGATACTTGTTATCATGGATATGGAATCCTTTGGCACATCAATTTCACATTGCTTCTCTTCTGCTTGAGAAGGAGATTTGATATTTATAGCAAGATTTGATATTTAATATATTTTTTTACTTATAGATTTACTTTGATGGAAGACATGATTTTTTGGTGGTCATTGGCATTCTCATCATGTTTTTCTTTTCTGAATTTTATGAATCTTGTCTTAGTACTTAGATATTTTTCATGCCAGATATATCTATTGCATCTTGTTACCTAATATATTGATCGATGTTGACCTAATTGATGGTGCAATCAGTGCTGCAAATCTATTAACAAGCTTATATCTTATATAAGATCGTATCTGGTTTTGACCAAGTGTGATTGATTATATTCCAGATTTTTATTCCGTTTTTGTTTCCTTGTCTAATGGAGTTACTCTTAGATATATTGTGGTAATTTGTTTTCAAAATTGACCTGCAACTACCAGTTAAATTTATTTTCTGTTCAATTTGTTCTTTATTCCTTAGTAGGTGTGACAAAAGTATATCATGTTCACCTTTAATTTTTTAAATTTAGAAGGAAGTCACCATATCTTTTGGCAATTTTTAATTCTAGAACATTTAATGTGAACTGACTAAGTTTTTTGTTAATCCTTTTATTGTTGTTATAAGTTAAATATTTTTTTAAGGAAATCAGGAAGGTTATGTTCGTTGACTAATTCAGATCTGGTGTTATAGGAGGTTGCCAACAGGAAATCTGGAGCCTTAAAAGAGGCAAGTAAAGAGAGCCAACGGGCAGATGGCTTGCAAGTGGAATCAAAAATTATCCAAGATGATTATTTGATCTCAAATAGAGTCCACAACGCAGCAGCAAGTTCACATAAATCCAGTGTGGTGGTATGTGGTGATTGATCTTGCCTTTTTTTATTTATAATCATTTGATACTAGTGATGAGAGTGGATCTTGGTACAATAGTGAGATTGTTCCTTTTTCCTATCTGTGATATCATGTTCAAGTTCCGGAAACTGCCTCTCCATATTCTAAATATATAGATAAGACTGTACTTTGGCCCCAAACCTACACTGGTGAGAACTTTGTGCACTACATATGTCCTCCTATTTGATACTGGTGGTAATTACTAGAGAAATGTTGAGGAAATAAAACACTAGCCTTAAGAACTGAGATGTGCAAATCACATATGTAAAGTGTCCATGCCCCATGCCTGTTTTTGCTATGTAGAAATGAAAAAAAAAATGGTATCATATTTTCAGACATCCAGTTACTCACTTCTTGTGAAATGGTGTTGTTCAGTTAGATATATGTCATTATATAACTTGAAGCATGCACCCAGCTGCACCAATGTGGTCATTATCATTGCATTCTTGCAAGTTTATGCGACCAAAACATGGGGGAGCAAATACTATTATAGTTGTTGCTCTGCTCACAACATTTTCATGCTGCCTTCTTCCGTTTAGATGTACAACCTGGAAAATTTTGTAAGATGACACCCTCTTCTGTTTAGGTGTACCACCTGGTTATCAATGTCCTACTTCTCAAACAATATCCTTTACTTCCCCTGAACTTCTGTCTACGCTACACTTACAGATCATAAGTTCCATTTTATTATCTATTAACGAACTCTGCAGAAGGAATAAAGAAATATTACTTGGATTTGTTCTTGTCATTATCTAGAAAAAGAAAGATATTCATTGGTTTTTCTTCTTCTTTTGTTGGGAATCAAGCCTATAATTAACCTTTTTTGGATTGAGGCCAGTTTCATTTGATATGTTACCATCTAGGTCATCCATGCCTTTCTAGATAAGTTCTTTTTCTTTGATATTTTGAACTTGTTTCCAAACTAGCTTTTGCCTTGATATTTTGAATGAGCCTTTATTGTGAAAAATTTCCAGGACTAGTACTTTTGATGATGTGAAAGGGCGCTTAATAATTGCCTGAAAATGCAAATTCAAAGTAGTATTTTACATCATGAAGCCTTGTTGCCGATTGAAAAGGGTGAGCCAGTGCATGAGGCTCTTGTTAATACGTGCTCTAGGTGGGTCAACTTGCACTTCTATAGATAAGGAGACTGTTCACATGATTCAGACCATGGTCACTTATGTCGTATAAGAGCAATCTTACTAGTGTCACAAATAGAATTACCTAAAGAAGTGTGATTCTCTAAATGCACTTTCAAGTTTGAGAAAACATGATTCTAGATAATGGTGTTCCTTCCTGACATGTTGCTACCAATAGTGTTCTTTTTAAATGAAATGTCATGAATAGTACTTTGCTACCTGTAAGGCTAATTTGGGAAACATTTTGAGCTAATTTCAGAAGTATTTCCAAAAGTAAACCTACTCCTTTACTATGTGATTTAGTTTTCATTATGTTTGTTTTTCATACAAGATTAGATCCCAGTTACCATATCCATTTTGATTAACGTACATCATTGCTTCCTCAAATTACAAGGGTGGAAATTTCAGTATAATTGTCATTCTGTGGCACAGGCCATGATGATCTTTTTCTGGTGTGATGTAATTTCTTGTTGTAACTGATTGCAAACATCAATCATGTTTGGTGAATTTCAAAATTGACCTGGCTATATATTAGTGGCTATATCACGAAATTGCTTGGCACTTGTTGATACCTTCCTTTCACATTTTGACCTATGTGATAGACACATCAATCTTTTCTTCAGCCCCTTCAATACTAATGCTGGAAGTTATCTACATCATCTGAAAATCTCTATAATTTCCGATCTAGATATTATAAACTCGTATCTTCTATGACAGTGACTATTTTATCATAATTTGAGGCATATGCTTCTTTTTTGTGATGGTTGTATGAAACATAATAATAATGATGATGATGATGATGATGATTACAATGCTTGACATCAGAACTTGTGTATGTGGACTCATAAACAATATAAGGTGCCGGGGGCTTTTAGCAGCCATAACAAGTTCATCTATTTAAATTGGATGTCATGACACTGAGGCTATCATTAGCACATTCTCCACTATTACTTGAGAACATCTGATTTTCATTGATCAATGTGCAAAACTTGTCCATTGACCCTATTTGCATCTGGGTTAGTTCTCTCATATGTTCTGCTGTTTTCAGGATAAACCTTTTAAATGTGATAATACTTCATTTTCAGAAAGGTTATTCATTCTTTAGATCAGTGTAATGATTCACTTTTGTTGTTTTTCTCATATTCTTGCAATTTTAAACAATCTGAAAGAAAAATGAACGTGTCCAACACAAGCATGAGCTGAAAGCATCACTGCATGATGTCGCCTCTCGTGCTGCTTCTCGAGCTGTGGCTTCAGCAGCTAAAAATATTACTTCTCCAAAGTCAGCTTATGAATTTGAGGTTTCTTGGAGGGCACTTTCTGATGATTCTGCTCAAGCTCAGTTGCTAAAGGTTTGTCCTGATTCTACTTATGTTTAATCAGAAATTTTATTGGATTCAGTTGCTGAGGTCTGTATTATATTTCAACTTGTGAGGTCAGATGATCCCACCTTATACACTGCCTCAGATCTTTAAAAATGCCCTGTCGGCACCAATTTTAGTTGACATTATTAAGTGCATTGGCACATTTTTCAAGTAAGTTGTTTCTATGTTATTATGGCTTTTTTTCATCATAAAAGGGAATCATAACCAGGGATTTGACCATATGTTGACGGCATGTGTTCCATTTTCAGGGAAGATACTGAATTAGCTATTAGTCTTCTAGATAATATGGTCAAGGTGCCACGATTTGACATGATAATCATGTGCCTTTCAGCTAAGGATCATTCTGGTGAGTGTGGAATTTAACTATTGATTCATTATAATTACTTATGCAATTTAAACATGTTAAGGTTCTTAGCCTTTTGAGTCTCTTTTTCTTCTGTTTAATTTGTGGCATATTTTGAAGGAAATTACATGTTTATAACTCTGAGCATTTTATTGCATGTTTATATGGGACAAAGGTGTCTCTTGATTTATTTTGTTTTCATGGATCATCTTAACTGCGTAGTCTTGATTGTCTTGGTTACTGTGTGTGTTATGTGTGTGATAATTTTTTATTCTTGTTTACTGTATGTGTTGTTACTTTCTGTTGCCTATGTAGAGATATTCTTTAGGGTTATGCCTTTATTATTAGATACCCACCTCCTTATCACTAGTTATATCTTGTGCCTACAGTATGCTCTTAGAATCTCATGAACTCAACCTGAATCTGCTGGTACCTAAAAGGTGAAATATTAGTAGTCTGCTTCTTTGTCATTCTTTATCACTGTAGAAAAACCAATGGAAAATTTATGTTCCTTTCATTTTTTCTCTCCTTTTAGATATTTGTTTTCCTTTTCCTCCCTTCTTCAAGGTGGACAAAAAGATTTCTGGCTGGTTCCTTAGCTGTGTAGTAGGGTCGGAATGTGTATTTTACCATAGAAATTGGCAATACCAGCTCTGAATGTTCAATGGCTGCGGTGTATCTCTGCCGCATATGGTTGCATCTACCACTTATATATCATAAAAAATCTCAACATATTGGTAATAATGTCATCAACAATTATAATCATAAATCTTTTACTTCCACCCTCTGTTGAAGATGAATTCCTTCTGCTGCTTGACAGAGAAAGTGTCTGAACTCGTTAATCTGAGCCTTCAGAAGTTAAATTAACTCTGCCTTGACTTCCAAGAATGTGCTGTCCTCCCACTCAAGAAGCTGGTCTCCACTATCTGCCTTTCCTAAACTTCATTTTCTCTTCTTTATGTTTACCACTTCAAAGGGAAAAAACCATGAGAGGTTTCTGTTCACATCAAGATGATTCAAATGATAATGTATTCTTGCCTTCCAGACCATTTTTTTCTCTCCCCCCACCTCCACCTGCAGCAATCATGGGAGAATTTAATCTTTTACTCTTCTTTAGAAGGAAAAAGGAGCCATGAAGATTATAGCGAGAGAATGAAATGATAAAAGTTTTATAATAAAAGAGAAAGGGTGAGCATAGAAAAAAGAAAACATTAAATACAATAAGATACTCCAAACAAATTCTTCCAGGTTTTGAATAGCCGGAAGTGCATGATCTGTTGAGTTAATATATTGATTCACGGCATTGAATGTTAATCTGTTTCCTCTGATATAGCAACAAAGTGCATTAGAGAATGTTTCCTTGATTCATTGATTTGTTTCACGAAGTTTGTCTTGGTCTATTGCCACCCAAATTCAGTGTAAAAAATCTTCTCGTCTTTTTTTTTTTGTAAACTAACATGCTTCCAATGGACAGTCTCTATCTGCATATTGATCAAAGTGGAGTTAATTCCACCGACATGGATAAAAAAAGTAAGAGTGCTTTGCCTCGACAAGCCAAATGTTCTTTTGGCATTGTTCAAGATATCTGCCATGGCTTCTTATCTTAGCTTCTGAAGCTTTGTGTTCACCTGCTTGTGCTACTTTATGTGCCAACCAACCTGCATTTGGAGAGGGCAGAACCAGGCGTCCACCATTTCTCATATTATGTTTCTCGTAAGATGAAGTAGCTTATGCTAGACCTTTACACGCCTTTATAGTCTCAATGGCTCTAAGGAAGACTGAAAGAATTAAAACTAAGAAAAAAAAATGAGTTGACCATTTGAGCAACATGAAATGATGCATTAATCGTTTTGCCTTGAGCCACATTGGTGACTCTGAACTGTCTTCTTGTTTGGACCCATTGCCTTGGATTCGAGGATCACTTTGAATTGGAACTATATTTCCAAAATAAGAATTTAGTATCTGGTGGTAACTAATGATTGCCGATAAACTGCTAATTTTGCTTTTATTTTCTCCTCCTTGTAGAAGTCCAGCAAGTATGGGAGGAAATCTTCTCTACCAGGTACATTCCAGTGGCTCACACGGAAGCATTAGCTCGGCTTCGACCAAAATATTGTTACCGGGAGCAGCAGGAGAAAAATTAGACAATTACGTTTGTGTATTTGAAAATTTTTTACTTAGACAAGTATCATGTATAAACCTTTGTGCATTTGTTTATAAGCAGAAAAATTAATCTTAAGTTAAATCTTGACCATCGTAAAATTGTGCACTATAACAATTTCGTTTTCCACTTCCGTCTTGAAAATTGTCTTTAGAGATGATGTTCAATGATGTGCAATGCATAACTGCTAGCTTAAATTGTCCGTGGATGTGTTGATGCAACAATCAGCATTGAGCTTGAGCTTGTGTCGATGATAAGAGATGTCAACAAAACCTAAATCTTCATTGTGTACCATTGTTCTATAGAGGATAAGATGAGAAAAAAGAACGGTGATTATTCTTTCGGAAAATAATACTCATTTTAACGTGCGTTGTCATTCAGTATGTATAACTGTGGTAAGACTGGTAAGACCAAGGTGAGGAACTAGGAAAACTTGGCAAATTTAGTTAAGATTATTATTATTATTTATTATTTTATTTGGAATCTTTAAAGAGTTTCAATGACATTGTACTAAGAAGGTGCTTGAACTTCCAATCTCAATCACCCTATATGAATCATTGGTAAATTATTTTATAGGTTGTTTTTGGAATCCGAAACCAAATTTATTGTTTCTTTAATCTGCCAAGAGTGTGGTTCAATCACTTAAATATTATTATTATTATTATTATTATTTTAGTACAAGATCAAACCGTGTGATCTCAATCAAATGGTAATACTGACCTTGAATTTTTTCCATAATCATCCATTTGTTAGCTACTTTTTCATCACAATATCCAATTAATTTTTAGAGCTTATGACGATTGCAAATATTTGTTAGCTAATTTATGAAGAGAGAAGAGAGAGGAGAGGAGAGGAGGGAAAGGAAACGGGGGAAAAGAGAAGGAATATAAATAAGAGAAAACCTGTGGAGATAACAAACAACAGAGAGAACACCTCAAGGAAACACGGTGGGGTACAAGTTAATTCGGACCACACGATCATGGTGGAACCCACAAGTGATGCGCCGCTAAGACGTGAGTTCTGACGTCCGGTAATCGTTTAGGTATCGGAAATAAATCTACTTCGGTACCTTCAAAAAGCTCGGCCAATTCTGCCCGGCCCCGTTCGATGCTTCGCTCGGTGACAGGCAGCCGCCATGGTTACCTCCTCCCGCGCCGGCGACGCCTCTTCCAATCGATCTAAGGTCTGATCTTTCCACGATTTGTAGATCTCTTCGTCCACTTTTCGTGTGGTATTCCTGAAAGCCAATCCAAATTTCTTAGTATTTCGCACGATTCTTCCGTCACAGAGGGTGGAGGGAGAGCAGGGGAGGGAAGGGATTGCTAATCTGTCATGGAAATTGTCCCAGATGAAGAAGCAAATCAAGGCATCCAGATTGGTTTCCATCAGAGTAATGCCTCTAAACCCTTGTTTTCCTTGAAATTCCCCGTTATCGGATTGAGCTGGATGTTAGTTTGATCCCGATAGGAGAAAATCGAGACGAACAGCAAGAATCTTCGGCTCCACACCTGCAATCTCTTTGATCTGGCTGCTGCGGCGGAAGCCGCCACGAGGAGCTCATCGAACCAGTCGAAAGGGGAGAACTTGCTATCGACTAGGATGGGAAGCGCTCCTTGTACGTTGAGCGGATGGGATGTGTTAAATGGATCAGGGGATAAGGAGGTCGTGCACAACCAGGAGGAGGTTTTGTCGTCGGGGACGGTGGTGATTGGAAATAATGGCGGCAACAAGAGTGTCGTGCGCCTCCTCAACCTTCCTTATGTCGAAAAAATTCCACCATACACCACATGGATATTCTTAAACAAGTACTGAAGAATCTATCATTGTCACCATTTCTAAATTTTCTTTCACATTAGGTTTTACTTGCTGAAATAGGATCAAACGGAATTGTATCAATACATTTGTGTTTTTTTTTCTGTTCCTTGTATATATGAACACCCAATTAAAAAGAAGAAAATTGGATATTGCAAAATTTTAGTCAAATGCCAAGTTGTAACATGTTCTTTGTTTACATGAATATAAAATGAGATGAATCAGGAAGTCAAGTGGTAAAATGCTGATTGGTTTGTCTTTGTTAACTATTTTTTTACTATTTAAAACAGTTACCTTTTTGGTAAAGATTTATGCTTTTTTAGCATGTTATATTTGTTTGTTTCAATCGTGGAACAGATCTTGATACCTAAGTATTGTGCCTTGCATGGGTGGTCAAAATCAAGCTAAATCCTTAAGAAGTTGAGAACTTCAAGTATTGGTCTTGCTATTTCTTTCTGTCTCTCTGAAAATACATCCTTACCATGCTAATATTGCCAGAAAATTGTGAAAAACATTCTGAAGTTAGTACATGGATATGCAATGAAAATTTTGCTACTTATTTGCCTGAACAACCGTTGCATTTGTTTGTTTATCACTTAAATCATGCTATTTGTGAACAATGTTCATATCTTTCATGACCATTAATAATGATCAACATAATATCATCTTTTGTTTTTCCTTGTCTTAGTCCAGATAATATGTAAGATGTGCATTCTATATTGACCTCAATCCAATAACTTTAAGTCACTCAAGCTAACCTTACAAAATAATTTCTAATATATGCATAGCTTTCTTCCTAGTTACTTATTATTTCCTCTGCTACAGTTCTATGTACATAATCAACACCTTTGGCAGACAATCTATACCAGCTAAAGTTCCTCTTTTCGTAAGTTGCAATTTCTTGGTATTTGCTACACTAACACATTACACAATGCAGAAATCAACGAATGGCTGAAGATCAGTCTGTTGTTGGAAGGAGACGGATTTATTATGATCCAGTTGGCAACGAGGCACTCATCTGTAGTGATACTGATGAAGAAATTGCAGAACCAGAGGAAGAGAAACATGAATTCTCTGAAGGGGAAGATCAGATCTTGTGGTAAACATTGCTGCACCAATTATTTACCTTTCCTAGCAGGGCTTGTGATGCGTTGCACATAGCGGAAAGAATTATAGTGGTTCAAAACTGCATTTTCTTTTACATTGGAAATTGATATGCTATTCTAGAATCTCCCTTCTTTGTTGCATATCAGCAATGCATCAAAAACCTTTGTTTCAAGTCAAAAAATTATAGGATGTCCCCAACAGTGCTTCTTCACATACTAAGCCGTGTCAAACTTTTGTGATATTTTGAATTTATTGTTTCAAAGCAGTGGCAAGTTTCATTAAATTTGCATGGTGAAACCTCAAGATATATTTCATTTTTCTTCCAGGAGTCTGAGATCTTACTTCTGTAACTACTTGACTTTACCAGTCCTTATATCGATAAAATCTCCTTGAATACTCCTCTATCTCAAGTTTCTTTTAGAACCAAAATAATCCACCAATAGTCCTATAACGGATTGAGTTACATAGTGCCCCCGAGGTCTGGAACCCCCTCTTTAATGGTTCACATTCATCTTGCACACACATTCATAGGGATGTACGTCAAACACTAAATTTCGAACAAAATTTTCCCACACAGCATGTATCTAGAGAGTCAGTAAGTTACTATTTGCAAGGACATATTGTCTGAGAAATATTTCTGCCAGGTTCAGTAATACTTATAAATCTTGGTCTCTTTTGATGGGAAGGGAATATAGTGAATTCGATTTACACCATATCAGTTACCACATAATACATATTTCAGTTGTAAACAAGATAGATGGTGTGAAATGTGATATTCGACTTTACACTTCTCTTATCAAATCACTTTAGGGGTCGAAGTGTTTTTCCATAAATGTTACAAGTTTTTTGTATGATTGATTCATTTGGATTAAATGGTTCTTTGTTCTCTTTCTTTCTTTCTTATTATGATTAAAAGTCCTCAAATATTTCTAATCTGTTCATGTAAAATTTTCTTCAGAACATAATTACACTATGATAAATTGGAATAGAACAGTATTCACCAGCATAAATGGTAGGTATGCTACCACTCTATGCACCTTTAAGTACTCAAAATTACTTGTTTAAACATGATAACTCTTACACTTTATTGTGCTTGGCCTACCCACAATTTAAGAAGCATCAGTAGTTTTTCAAGTTTTTATGTCAGGTATCTCTCCCTTGGATGATGCTTTTTTCCAACTGGATATGAAAGATGTCTGTTGTTGTTCTCGTGGCTTTTTCTGAACCTCTTTTTAGGTCTGGCATCCCAAAGAATTTAGTTGAGCCTATTGCCATCCAGCCACTGCATTTCAACCTTCATACTGTCAGGCTCTCTTTTTCTTGACTATGGTGGGTTCATTATGAACATTCGGTGCATACAAGAAAATCTTCCATAGGAGAATAAAAAATCCATCTAAATGCCAATTTATAATGCAGAATGTAAGCAATAAATATGATGAAAATCAGAAGCTATAGACTATATGTGATGGTGCACTTGGTTTAAGTTTTCTTCAATGTAGTCTAGGCTCTAGGTTGATTCAAAATTTGCAATGTATTTGGTAAACGAGTATATTTCAATTTGATATATACCATTGATGATTTCAGTATTTTTGCTTTTCTTTCTTTGTTTGATAACTTCCCTTTTCTGCTTGTTGGTGTAATAATAAAATTTAGCTGCCTTGGCTGTGTAAAATCATTATCAGACAGTAAAATTATAAGAAGGTTGTTTTCATTATAATATCTATATTTACGGATGTCAAGTTGACTTGATGCTGACGGTTTATTTTTTCCTTTCATCTACACAATGTAATATTTTCATCTTCTGTGTGCAGGAAGGCCATTCAAGAGCATGGGATTAATCAGGAAGTCCTCAATATTCTTCACCAATTTATCGATGCAACTCATGATGAAATTGAGGTATCTTGAATGGCAGAAACATGAGAGCTTTAATGCATTAGTGATGAAAATTCTTTTCAGATGTCGTGCTTTAAGATGCTTATAAATTTCAGCTTATACATCAAATTTCTTTTGCAGGATAGGTATGAAATGCTTCTGTCAAAACATAACAAGAAGCACAGAAGTGAGCCGAAAGATTCTGATGAAAAAGATTCGGAAGGAAGATTGTTTTCTGATAAGTCTCTCAATGCTGCTTTAGATTCTTTTGATAATCTCTTCTGTCGTCGTTGCTTGGTAGGTTTTAACTTCATTCCAACTTTTTTGTCTTCAAGAAGCCTCTCTTAAAGTTGGTTTATTCATAGGCATGATACCTTCACTGACTAGATGCTACTGCTTGCAGATTTTTGATTGTAGACTTCATGGCTGTTCTCAGAACTTAGTCATCTCTGTGAGTCATATTCTTCAAAGTTTTCTTCTTCCAAGATTTTAAGAACATTTTATGATTTTTTTATAACTGTTGCTTGACAGAACGAAAAGCAGTCTAGTGCTTTCGACCTTGAAGAAAATAGGAAACCTTGTGGTGATCAATGCTACCTTATGGTATGATTCACATACTTAGTGAAGCACTAAAATCCTTGAATGCTGTCTTTAGAGTATCTTTGTAATAAATTTTTGGTCAACCATAAAGAGAGAAATAGTTTTTTATTCATGATATCACTGAAAGAATGTTATGTGATCCCTGAACTCTTTGAATTTAGTGGTTGCTTGGGATTAACGTTTGATGTTTGTGTGCTGCCAATTTTCTTATTGAATGGTGATCTTTGTTGTACAATCTTCTGTCAATAAATGATGTTTGCACTTGTATAACATATTTAATAGTCATCTTAAAATTCTTGGATGGATGTTTTGAGCTAGGATGAGCATAGCGAAAGAAAATACTCGAGAAATTTATATACATAAATGGCAATGATAAAATGATAGATGGCCTTCAAAAATAGATGAGTTAATGTACTGGAATGAATTCTGATTAAGTTCAAAATGTCAAATAACATTAGGTTTAGTGATACAAAATTGAGTGTAATGTGCTGTTAGATCTTTTTGCTGTTTAAGACTCCTAAGCATCACTTATGTTTCAGTTCATTCAAGGCTATGTTGTCAGTAGTTGGAGTCCTTTTGGTTTCAGGTGTGAGCTGGTTTGGGTTTTAAGTGATGTGCTATTTAATCAAATGGCAACATTGTAATGGCATTGTACCATTGACTTGTTATTCATGATGATTTCCAGCTACTATCTTGATGTATGGATTATTGTTGAGGAGCTTCAGTATTATTTTTTTCATTTGTGTAACAGAGAGGCTAACAGATAATAAAAAATCGAAGTATATGCTTGTGAATGCCTAAAACATCATATCATCATGAGTAGGTAAATTAACTCATGTGTTCATAATTTAATTAGGAAAGTTACTGCAGTTGAACCTTGTGAAAACAATATTGAGCAGGTGAATAAGACTTTTTTTTCCTTTCCTTATTAGGGTGAACACCTTGGTATGTTAGGTTGCAGATGGCATACAGAGGACTATTTAGGATGTGAGAGATACAGCTGGACTTCTTTGTTCATTTAACAATCAAAGAAATAGCTGACATGTTTTTTCATCTTTTTTCAGAGAAAAGAAGATTGTCAAGCTCAATCAAGTGGTACTTTTGGTACCAAATTTACACACGAGATAGAACCTAAAACATTAGCAGAGGGACTTGATAATTCATTACCCTCTGAATCTGAAGACTCAAATCCTGATGATGAGAATGCGAAACCAGTTGCTTCTGAGAAAATATGCACTAATGTTAACACACCCATCATTTTGTCAGAAACTTCCAATAGAACGGGTAAACAAGACTCTGAAGATACTGATGATATAGACACCACATCAGATGTTCCACTGAAAAATATAGACAAGCACAAGACATCAAATAATGGAAAGAGATTACTGGGAGAACATGAGCCTGGCGAAGTAAATTTGATGGCTTCTGACAAAAAGCGGAAGAAACCATCTTACTCAGAGGTTCCTTCAATGCATGAGGATTTCTCAGACAGACATCCCGATTCAAGCACTGGTAGTAAATGTCCGGATTTTGAGTCACCTGCTCCAAATCAACAACTGGAGAAAGTTATAGACAAGTATGTTGAACATCCTACTGGGAACGATGTTCGTGTTGGTAGCAGCAGTAATACAATAGAAGACGTAACAAAAGGTATTACTCAAGTTACCATGATAAAGACCTCTTGCTCTAACAGGAATGAAACTGCTCATGATTGGAACACTATGGAGAAAGATCTATACTTGAAGGGGATAGAGATATTTGGAGAAAACTGGTATGCTACTAAATCCTTGTCTTGTTTACCATTTAGTGAAAAGAATATAATGTTTTGGAGACATTTTTTATAAGATGAATAGTGTAAAGAGATAACTTATATGTAAAATACATTTTTAAAAATATAATGCTTGATTGTCCCATTCTTGTTGCTTTTCCATGGTTCCTGAAGGACATAGTGACTTGCCTCTGTTATTAAATTGTCAAGCAAGATGTGTTCTATTGATCTTTGGATAAAAAGAAATGCCACCTAGTAAGTCAGTACACGGGTAGAGGTGAATTGATGTTAATGTTGATGCATTTACTGGTAAAACTATCCTGCTCATTGTCAAGTGAATGATAGATGCATTTAAGAATTACATTCTGTTCTTTGTAGCTAACAATGTAAACAAGAGCTAGAAGGATTAACTTTGCAATATCTGTTGTTCATGAAGACTTCAGTCATAATGAGTTCCATGAGTTCTATGAAAAATAGAACTGGTGCAAGGGCAGTTTGGAGAATTATCACATAATGACTCTATATTCTTGTCATTTGTGTCTCTTTTAGTTATTTTTTAGCCCAAACGAAGAGCTGAAGCTAATTTTTAAATTTTAGTCCACACATCTGTGGTGATGGTTGTTGTCCCAGTTTGTTTGTTTGTTATTCATGTCATTAATCTGCATTCATTTAATGCTCATTCTCTGCAGTTGCCTCATAGCAAGAAACCTACTTTCTGGCCTGAAGACATGCATGGAAGTTGCAAATTACATGGCCAGCTATGGAGCTTCCCTAGCGAGCAGACCCATCTTAGCAAATTCATGCTTTGATGACAGTGGGAGGACAGATCAGGAACATATGGTGCGTTGTAAAACACCAGCATATTTGACATTACAATGGCAAACTTCCTGTTACAGGGAAATGATTGAAATTATTAGATTATTCTACAACATAAGGAAACAATAATTTACTACATGGTTCGTTTTACCGGTCCATACCGATGTACCGACACATGATACGGTTGGACATACCGATAGACTGGTATATGCCACCCGTACCAATCTCCTATCGAACCAGTATGTGTCGCCCGTAGCAAGTGGTATGTCACGGTTTGGCGAACCTTGATTTACTAACCTTTGGTTGAGTAGGGTGACTCTTAAAACTGTCTGAATTATGCAACTGTCAAATAGAAAATTAATGAAACCTCTGCAAGGAAATTTTTCCTCACCATCTCTTAGCTTACATGGTTCTAAAGTTATAAAATAGTCATTTGGGAAACCTGAGGAAGGAATGGGACAACTCTGAAGGAACTGTATGCAAATACATGTTCTTAATCTCTATTCAGAAGAATAGTCAATTCCCTAGTGTGGTTGTGTTTTCATGGTAATGTCTTTCTCAATATCAACCAAGCGATCTGGTTGGCTTCCCTTTTTGAAACTCATTTTCCTCGTGAACGTTTTCTTTTTTTTCTAATGAGATTTTGGACTACCCTAGAAGTTTATAATTAAGATCCAAAAGCAAACATAAAAAAAATATTGGCAATATTTGGAATTTGTTAAGTAAACTGATTTTGTCGACTTCTATATATTGTCTCTCATTGCACTGCATATTGTTGACTCTTTCAGCTCCTACAGGAATACAATAAATTCTGAGGTTGTAAATCAAACTAATTTTCTCTGTGCATTATCATTTTCCTCTCTTCTCTATATAACTTCTCTAATTTAGCTAAGAAGCTGTTAGGTAACTACGGATGCTTAATAGTTGCTCTCCAACTCTGGACACATTATTTATGCAGATGGTTTTATATGTCAAATATATCAAGTTCTAGATGCTTACTCTAAATGAGTTGATGTTAACATTGTAGGATCAAGATATGCCCACAAGAACACGAATATTGCGAAGAAGGGGAAAAACACGGAAGCTTAAATACACCTGGAAATCTGCTGGCTACCCTTATATTCGCAAAAGAATTGCTGATGGTAAACAGCAGTCATGTAAACAGTACACACCATGTGGTTGCCAACAAATGTGTGGGAAACAGTGCCCTTGTATGCACAACGGAACTTGCTGTGAGAAGTATTGTGGGTATGCTATTTTTTCATCAATCTATAGACAATTATATATACAGTAACTTTCTTCTTTGAACAATACTTTTTTACATGAAAATTAAGACATTATATTCAGAATATAACATGCTAGGCTGTGGTTGAGTTTATGTTGGCGTACGCAATTGTAAATGGGAATCAGAAGTGATATGTTGAATTCCTATTGGAGGAAATGATATAAGATTGCTGTGAGCTTTTGTAGGTCATCTGGAAGTATAATTGTCATTTTCTGGTTCATTTATGAGTTTTTTTTTTATGCAGGTGTTCAAAGGGTTGCAAAAACCGATTCCGAGGATGCCATTGTGCCAAGAGTCAGTGCAGAAGCCGGCAGTGTCCTTGCTTCGCAGCGGGTCGTGAATGCGATCCTGATGTCTGCAGGAATTGTTGGGTTAGGTAATTTTGTCGTTCTGTGATAATTTTCTTCATTTTTAATGATTTTAGTCAGTTGAGTTTATGAATCCTTTATTATGCATGACCAAGCATCATCCTTTGCTGTGGAAGAACTTTATGTGCACAAATCATGTTAGATTTCCAGATTATCATGTTACTATAAAGAGCATCCTCAGTTTCTATTGAGTGAATATAAAACAAGGCTGGTTTAGTTGTTTCATAGAGCCTGCAAATCTGGTTGCTGGAATAAAATTGTTTCCTCCTTTAGTGTCTATGCCCTAATTAATTTTGTGTTTTATTGGTCATGGTTTTGTTGTGTCAGAACAGTTCTTGGTGCTTCTACTCTTGTTGTTGATGGAATTTTGGAGAAACGAAAGCAAGTACAAATATATTGATATTTTCACTAAATCATCCTATTTAATTTTTTGAAATAAGTTTGACAGAAAGAGTAGATCTAATGTAGTTTTCTTTCTAGGAGCTAGATGATTATACTATTGTAGGGCATAATATACACAAGAAAATGCTTTCTACTTGTGCAGCTGTGGAGATGGTTCCCTAGGTGAGCCACCAGATCGAGGTGATGGCTATCACTGTGGCAACATGAAGCTCCTTCTAAAGCAGCAGGAAAGAGTGAGTGTGCACTACCGTTGCAATGTTACATCATCTTTTATGGTGCTTTATACCAAAATACTATGCGTACTAGTTCTACTTCTCTTTTCCGTTTGCATAGATTTTGTTGGCAAGGTCCGATGTTGCTGGATGGGGAGCCTTTATTAGGGTTAGTAGATCGACGATAGGTATTACATTTGCTGTAATTTTGACATTGTAATTAATACTCCCCTCATGTGGTTAATAGAATCCAGTTAACAAGAATGATTATCTCGGAGAATACACTGGTGAATTGATTTCCCATAGAGAAGCAGATAAACGGGGGAAGATTTATGACCGTGCAAACTCATCTTTTCTTTTTGACTTGAATGATCAGGTACCATCTTGGCTGTTTCTACTAAATTTCCATTCAAAATTGGACGTCAGATTTTATTACATGTGATATTCAATCAAGCAATATATCTGTGTATTCCTGACTCTCATTGCTCTTCTTGTTGACCTGACAAGAAGCATATAATTCACTGGATATGGTTCGTTGTTGATAGAAGATTATTTTTATCCTTTTGTAACATAAATGTGCCTGTTGCTTATATGCAGTATGTATTGGATGCTTATCGCAAGGGTGACAAGCTGAAGTTTGCAAATCATTCATCGAATCCAAATTGCTATGCCAAGGTATGCTCAGTCTTGGTGTTTTCATGATTAGATTTTTATTATAGATTGTGGAGTAGCATAAGTTGGATTAAACCATGGGTTGAACTATAGAGTAAAAGGTTTTCAAGTCTCTTTTTCGCATAAAACCTCCAGAAAGTTATGAGAAAAAAGGAGGCATGAGTCAGTAGTAAAGCACTATGGAGAACGAGAGGCACCACGTCTAATTATCATCAAATTATAAGCAAGTGTCATTGCAGCCAGACCAACCTTTTTATGCCCACTCAGAAACGTCTAGGAAACAAGTTTAATGATTTCGTCAATTGATATTTCTCACTTCAAAATTTTTATATGCTCCGCATGAATTGTTTTGTTCATACTAATATTACCATTGACTTCAAAACTACTAAAATTGGTTTTTTCTTTTCTTGGAAATACAAAGTGTAAGGAGTTTGTTTGATGTCCTTCATACTGCATCGCAAATTCTCCTTCTAAAAGGTTAAAAACTTCAACAAATTGTATAATAGTGCATCTAAGCAATCATATTGGTGCTTCTCATCTATGACAGTGCATCATGCACACTGTGGACATATATGTTATGATCTCAGATAAAACTAGGGTGGGAACAAGACAAACTTAGATCCAACAACTTATCATTTGTTTTGAGATCCTGACGATATTATATTAACCTCTGCAGGTTATGCTGGTAGCTGGCGATCATCGAGTGGGTATTTTTGCCAAAGAACACATTGAAGCCGGTGAGGAGCTCTTCTATGATTACCGCTACGGCCCTGATCAAGCGCCTGCTTGGGCCAGGAAACCTGAAGGTTCAAAAAGAGATGATTCTTCGGTGTCTCATAGCCGAGCACACAAAGTTGCTTGATGAGGTTATTTTACTTTGTATCACAGGAACCACACTGATATCCATGATGTGTATGTGAGATGGCTTCACCATCTCATCAACATGGCTATTGTATGCAATTGATGTTTGTGTGAATATACATACATATATATATAGTCTGTTCTTCATGTGATTAATTCTGTCTACGTATCAAATTTATATGAGATTGCTCTTCTTTGTTATTATGTTTCCTCAGCCTCTATTTTTATCCGAGGCGTGCAGATCGTCTGTCGGGAATCCAACCAAGTTCATATTTCCGCTGGTCGTCTGACGTGTGGAACCAATTCAATCTTTCGGTCATCGCACCTTAAGAACCACGATGAATAGATGCTGATAGGAAATATATTAATGGTTAATCATCGTTCAACACAAAAGTTATTATCGAAGGAAAAATATCATGTCACCCTAAGGTAATCATTCAGGACAAAAGCGCTACCCAAGGGGTTATTCCTTACCACTCACGTGAACAAAACATCAAGAGATAGATGTTGAGGCAATTAGAGATTATTCCTTTCAAGATCAAGTATAAAACCTAATCCCGATGCTACCCCAAAGGTTTATTTTTTCAAGAAAAACTCACATCTACTAAGAGACCTCGGTCACTAACTTAAACGTCGGAAGAACTAAGTTAAAAAAAAAAAAATCACATTGATCTTAGTGTAGATGATGTCTCAGGAGCTTAACACTCCAACATTGGAGCCACCAGAGTCACCACCTCGAACACTCCTACACCCTTGAGTTTGAACCACATCGGGTTGACTCAAATGTCGACGATAATTTTTCTTAACATTTTTGCCACTAGAAGGAGGGTCTGATATTGCAAGAACGTACACCCGTCAATCCTCTCAATGAAAACTCTAACTCCAAAAATATAAGGTTAGTGGACCCAACCAAGTCATCAAAGTCATTCGAGATGGAATATATTACCTTGCGACAACAGAGGATGTTGCAAACTTGAAGAAGTTTTATCCATAAGGCCTCCCTTGGGATCAAGCCAGGGAGGACTATGCCACGAGCCTCAAATGTTGGCCTGCAAGGCCTAGCGGTGTTGGTTGTATGATGTATCTTTAAAGTGCCAACTACGAATAAGAAAAAAAATTATTACTTCTAGAATGATTACATCAACCAGATCAGGCTTCTACATCCAAGATGAAGCTCTGGCCTGTCAAAAAAAAATGCTAATAGGGCAAACAAAAGGAATGATTTAGGTAGACCAACCCGATGACTAAATAAGAGATCAACAGTTGGAGACAACAGCTCAAGCAACAAAACGAGTGAGGAGTCAGGCTATCATCAAAGGGTATCTTGGTCAACATCAGGGTAGTCCATGAATGGATTCTCCTTGAGCACTAGCTTAAGGTACCTTGCCTTGAAATGAGCCAAAGCGATTTGGTGCCCGAATTGGTACAAGGTGACCCCTGTCCTCTTTAGACCCCTATTGAACTCGACGGATGCCTTATAATCAGCTATCGCTTCCTCTCTATAATATACTACGTTGCTCGACCTCTAGCACTTTCCTTAGGTCGCGAGCCTCCCCCTGACCAAACTTGACCTTCTTGACAAGCTGTTGCACATCCTCATTGAGTGTAGCTCTTGGGTAAGTCGCAATAGTTCATCCTCCATTGCTCAGTTGTTGCCTCAGACCTCTTTTAGTTGTTTGGCGAGGCCAACTAGACACTGCTTGGCGTCCTCTAATTGACGTGCCAACTCGACCACCCAAGCCTTCACCTCAACAATGGTATCAGAGGAGGTGGGGGCGAGGGCAGGGGCAAGGGTGGGGCGCGAGCATGAGTTGGCTCCTTAGGTGTGTCATCCCTTTGAGGGCATGTGACCTTCCTCGCAATGATCTTATATTTCTTCCTCAGTTTGTTGACGTTGTTATGATAATCAGACCGAGGCAGGTCCAACACCTCTATCAATGGCTCATGAGCAATAACATGGGCCAAACAGGGCTCCATCGTGCCCGACGAGGAGCTAGGCGCCTTCTTCTCCAAGGAGTATAAATCCATGCCTGTATAGATCCAAATCACAAGGCTGAGGACTAAAAAAAGAGGTGGAGTGAAGCGATAAGAGGTTTGGGTCGTATCCCGAGGAGTTGGGTTGAGACCCATGTTGATCAACTAGTCCTTATCCATCTTTCAAATTACCTTGGAGGAAAAGAATATATCCCTCAATCGAAGCACTTGACCTACCTCCGCATCCGACAAGAAGGGAGGGGTGTTGTGAATGCAATGTGTCAACCAAGCAAAATTAAATCCCCAATCTCGACTTGAACTCACGAGAAAGAAGTGCTCCTTCCATCCTTTGTAGTTGGAAGGGGTACCACTAACCATGAAACCTCCTTGAATGGCTAGGTAGTGGCTACTTTTCCCCTTGCATAACTGAAAACAAGTGACAGAAAGGGTATGGATCGAAGTAATATCTACACCTTAGCATTCTCTTATGAACATTATTAAGTAGCACCACGAGTTGGGCGCCATTTGAAAAGACAATATCCCCACTATTGAAGGCCGGACATTATCACCGAGTGGAGAGGAAGTTAAAGTCTTGCCTCTAAGGTATCGCAAGATAAGCAAAAAGACACAAGTGTGAGGTTGAAAGGGTGTTGACCGGGTCGGAAAACTTATAGATCAAACTCAATCGAAATATAATACCTAGTTCATAAGTGATATAGGAGAGACATGTTTACCACTGAGTCATAGTCATATGAACTTTTCATAAACTCCAAGTCTCAAAAAACTTTCGGGTTCATAGGAGATGCCTCCTCTTATGAAGGAGAGGACACCTCCTGCACTCTTGGATTGTCCAAAGACGGAGCACAAACCTCAACCAACTAATGGCCAAAGGATCATGAGGAACTTGTACGAGAAAGGAAAGATATCTCAACCTGAGGCGGAAGAGCAAGATGATTGACTAACAGCTAGAGAATCAAGAGGAACTTGTATGAGAAAGGAAAGATATCCCAACCTAAGACAGAAGAGTAAGATGACTGATGACTAGTTTATTACAGAATTGACGACATCGAGACGAGGGACTCAAAGACCGACCCACCCTACTAGGAATCGGGGCAAGATGGAGAACTCTCCTAAGGAGACCCTAAGAGCAAGGTAGAAAGCTTCTAGAGATGCTCTAAAGAGACTGAAGTCTCTAAAGACTAAAATAAAAGAATGAATCGCATCCTACATGGAGAGGAAAAATTTATAATTAGGATATCGATCTCTCTCCTTCTATGATCAAGACAAATATCCTTTGGGGAGGAAAATCTCAAAAAACATCGATAGTAAAAGGATCTAAAATTCGATAAAGAGAGAACTTGAAGCCCGCCATAACAAGAGAGGACTTCAAATCTATCACGATAAAACAAGAACTTGAAGTCCGTCATAACGAAGGGAGGACTTAAAATCTATCATGACAAAGAAATGACTCAAAGCCCATGAACTAAGAATTTAAAATCCATCATGACGGACAAAAATATATATATATTGACAGAGATGCAAGACAAAATATGCTTAAAGCATTCAAGTAAAAAAAACTCGACCACTGCTAAAAATTTACTACGATGAAAGCACGAGACGAAATATACTCGATGCTAGAAATTTACTACGATGAAAGCACGAGACGAAATATACTCGATGCTAAAAATTTACTACGATGAAAGCACGGGACGAAATATACTCGATGCATGTGAGTTGAGATAACCCAATCTTTACTAGAAGATGTATGAGTTGAGAAAACTCAATATATATAAAGAGAAATTCACTATGACGAAAGTACAAAACAAAATATACCCGAGACATATGAGTCAGGTGATGAAAAAATTCTCTATACAAAGATCTTATACATGTAACACATTAGAATGTTACATAGAAGCTCGACACTTCCACTTCAAAGCCACTTTATAGTCACCACCTCGAACACCCTTACGCCCTCGAGTTTAGATCATATCAAATTGACTCGGACATTGACGATAATTTTTTTTAACAGATATTACACCAATTCAAAAAATAGATACTATCCATTCGAAAAATAATTACTACCAATTTGACACAAACATATTACCAAATAATATAGCACTAACCCAAAGATGTGATACGCATAAAAGCATGTACAACATTAAAAAAAAAAATCAGCACTTATAAGGAGATCATCGCGAGAGAAAAAAAAAGCATTCCAGCCGTTATCTTCTTTAACGAGCAAAGAAGTTGCAGACAACCTAAGCACAATACATCCAACCAAGTCAGCACAAGCAGAAACAAAGCTGCTCTTGGAAGAAGACCTGCAAAGGAAATGAAGTGCACGCGTAGAAAAGGACAGGATACCATCCACCGGTACTTCGACGAAAAGAAAGGAGAAACAAAACAGGACTAAACAGAGTGCCCTTATGAAACGAACAGGCTTGCCGAAATGGAGACTGCAAGGATGAGACAGAGCGGTCTCATGCAACCGGAAGAACGTCTGATGTCGTAAAAACCAGAGATCTGCCTACGACAAGCCAGCCAGCCTACACACTGCCTAAATCTGGGTTTCCAAGCCATGTCATCCACGGCTCCCACTTCAGAATATGCCGGAGAGGAGGTTCGCTGCCGTGGAGAGCGCAGCTCCGGTGATCGCGCATTGGACGATCTGCTCATGGGAGGTGCCATCAGCTGTCAGTGCCAATGCAGCTCCCGTTATTGCCCCTGCGACTGCGCTGCTCTTCTGCAGATGAGAACATCAAGAGATCAGGAAATCACATCATCTTCATCCAAGTGAAGAAGAAGGAACGATACTTAACCCAATCATGAGAACCTCTAGCCTCCTTTAAACCATAGGTTAGGCCAGAATACATGCCAGCAGCCATCCCTGCAACAAGGAGAATGGGAAGTCATATTTGTTAGTCTATAACGAAAACATGGACATCTAGTAATTTATTCTATCAAAGTGAAGAGAATCTGAACAAGCCATGCAGATTTTGAATTGAGTTACCACAAATGTCAAAAATTCAAGCTATTAAAAAGGACTCAAATCTATGTTAGATCCTTCGGACTCCACCATGAAATGCATAGAGAGACCAAAAAGAACATCAACGGATCCCTTTGGAAAGAAATAGAAAGAGTGCTGATATCCTTAATAAATAGTTTGCTAATGGGTGATGATTAAACTTCTCTTCCGAATCCCAAAGACCCAAAACTGCGAAGAATCATCTACCAAATTCCCAATCCAATAATAAACCAATAAAAGATCCATAGCCAAAGGCCGTCAGTTACCCCATTGAAATGACTCCTTCCCAGTACTCTTTACCTGAAACATAACAACACTTGCTCAGTGCTCAGCTGCACAGTAAAAGACTGTAAGTAGTGTAGTTCTTACCATCGCTTCAAGTGACTTCTTACAGTTCTCTCCTGTATACACCAAGATATGCAATCAGCCACTATTTTTATTGCCCGTGTATAGAAACGTTCCAGTAGTACCTCGAAGGTCTGAGAACCTTCTCTTCTTGCCACCAGTTACGTCCGCCACCCCACCGGTGTCAACCCCACTACCTGCATAAACACCAAACCGTCGATGCACCTGCACACATACATAAGAAAGTCTGCGATGCTGACCTTCCACGGCGGTGAAGTAGGCCTCTCGAGTCACCGCTTGGACGGCTCCGATCTGCAACGGCAAAAGCGTCAAGCAAAATGAGAAACTACAAGAGCAGGCCGGGAGGCGGAAACGCCGAGGGTACCCCTGCGGCCTTGAAGAAGCACTCGGCCACGCGGTTGATGAGCGGGTGGCCGAAATCGAAGAGCCACCCGTTGTCCATGTCCCTTATCTCGTCAAGCAGCGTCCGCGTCTCCAACTTGCCGCTGCTCATCTTTCTCTCTTCCTCCTCCGTCGTCGATGCCTCGGTCTTCTTCGCCTTCTACTCCGAGTTAAAAAGGAGATAGCACAGGAGGAGGAGGCTGAAGAAGAGGTCGCTGGAAAGAGACGGATTCGACACGTGTGAGATGCGGTGGCATTATTTCGGGGGCGGTTAGTTACCGCATGCAGGTGGTTGCTACCGCACGCGTGTGGGCCGCGCACGTGTGGATCGGCTTGATTTAAATAGCCTATCCATTATGTAAAATAAATGTCGGATTATTATCGCTGGGATTAGTGAGACAAAGTCAACGAGGAGAGAGAGGGAAGGGGACCCTCCCGTGGCGGATTCAACTCCGCTTGGTTCGGTGTGCCGCCCCCGCTTTCTCCTTCCCCTGTTTCCTTGCTTCGATGGGTTACACGAACCACCTGCAAACACAAAACATCTCCACTGACGAGTCATTCATCAACACGTGTGCCCACTAGACCGTCTCGGCCTAAAACTGCTGCTCGCCGTTGTCGAGGTAACAAGTGATCGCGTAATCCAAACCATGGAGAACCACCGCCCACGGAGAAACCCGGGACGTCAGTATAAGAGCCGGCGGCCTGGGATCCGGAGCTGCGACCATGGCGAACGTCGCGAGTTCGAGGGAGCGGCGGATCGTGGTGGCGGTGGACGAGAGCGAGGAGAGCCTGAGCGCGCTGCGGTGGTGCCTGCGCAACCTCGTCCGGCCTGCTCCCGGCGATGGGTCAGGGGCGAAGGACATGATCGTGCTCCTTTATGCGAGACCTACGCCGCCGGTTTACTCTGCATTGAATGGAACAGGTACGAGCTCTCTTCCTGTGTCGTCATGGCAGAACGAAGAATGAGTCCCCTCTGTGTACAGAAAATGGAAGAGAACACCACGTGTTCGGTACCCAAGAGGATTTCGTACCCGATCTTCAAGTTCGAGAAACAGGTACGAGGCGTGATCGCTCTCTTGATCCTCTGGTTGCAGTAGAGGAGAAGATCTTTCTGCGTTGTTCCTTTTGTAGGGCGATCCTTTGCAGAAGATGTGACCGCCACATTGGACATGTACGGCAGAGACCTCGCTGATTCGGTCACGGAGAAAGCCAGGAACATCTGCAAGGATTATGGCAACGTAAGGTTGCAGTATCCATGAAAATTGTTCCGTGTTCTTCCACTTTTGAACTGGATTCGTTCTCTGCAAACTGGATCAGGTCAAGGTGGACGTGAAGATCTCGGTGGGAGACGCAAGAGAAGTCATCTGTCAGATGGTGGACAAGCTGGGCGCGGACCTGTTGGTCATGGGCAGCCATGGCTACGGCTTTATTAAGAGGTGAAGAGAGGCGTTCGGTCTACATTGCATATGTACATTCGATCCATCTGCTGATCCGTGTGGTCTCAGGGCGCTGCTGGGGAGCGTCAGCGACCACTGCGCTCGAAATGCGAAGTGCCCTGTTCTGATCGTGAAACATCGAGAAGCTTAATTGATGCATGTTCTTTTGGCAAGCTTTCTTCGAATAATCCAGTCTTAGATCTGTGCAGTCAATGTGTTGATGTGCTTCTGAGACAGTGAAATAGGAGATGATGAGAGATGAATGAATATATAAATCCCTTCACAATAGCCTCAAGCTCTTCACCACCACTAGTTTCTGGGTGGTCTCCTCTATCATGCCTCACAGCCTTCTTCCTCTCCAAGATAGATGATGACAGTCGATCTTTCACTTGATACAATGATTTCAGAAACACTCAACAGCTCAGCACATTGATCCCAGAGAAGATTAACGTTTCCATTAGGTTGTTTGTTGCTTATGATATTCATAGATCATATACTGATTTAGCCCAAACAAACAAAGAACTTCAATTTAAACCACCAACAAGAACAAGATTCAGCAGGGTGTACATGTTCTCTATTGGACAGAACAATTAGTATGTAAGACTGGAAGTAATTAATGGAAATTAAATGATAAGAAATAAGAAAGAATCATGCATTTATAAGTCTGCTTCACTTGGGAGAGTCACCTGCAAATCTAGAGAAAGATATCTAAGAGAAGACAATGGAGTTTATGTTAGAAGCTTGGAGAGTGCCATATGGATGTGTAGCCCATGGATTCGTCTTCAACTCTATCAGACGGAAGCGGTTCCATGATTTGATCTCCAAAGTTGTATTCGCCGGATTCGATACGACAGAGAAGGTTGTCGTTGCGCATGAAGTCGTACTCCTTTGCGAGGAAGATGCTATTTCGTCTTGCGGGAGGATAACTGATCGCAGGCCGCGCGAACGAGCGGCCGAAGCCTACGAACAAGATCTGGTCGTCTAAGCTCTTTGCTGTCACCAAACAGAGCTCCCCTGCGATCGACTTTAAGCGGAAGATCTCGACTCTGTCCGTCGAATACACAGGGAGCCGGTTGGGGTTCTTCCTGTCGACTGTAGGATTGCTGTAGACCACATTGCGGAGCACCAACAGCTCGCCGGACGACTCCACGAGACGCCATGACCGGAAAAAGATTGAGGTTCTCGTTGGTGACCCGACCACAGCCATCTTCTCAAGGCGGGAGTTGAACACAGCGACCTGTCCGGCTTCGTTAACAGTGTAGAAGGTCTCCTTGATGCAGATGACGTCGTCGTACATGATCGAGTGATCGACCAAGGTCCACGAGTACCGATCGGATAAGCGGAGAGATGCTAACAGTGGCAAGTCTGGCATGAAGCGGAAGCTAGCCAGGATGGTGCAGTGTTGTTGTCTGGCTCTTGGATTCGAGGACATGGCGATGGCACGGACGTTATACCTTTTCATGATGTCGCTCGTGATGTCTGGATAAGAGCGGCGAAGCTGGGGCGCCCGGAGCAGATTGAAGACCGGCGGAAGTTCGAGCAGAGTGCGGCTGAGGGGATTCAGCAAACAGATGCGTGAGGAGGCTTTTTTTAGGACAAGCCATCCGTCGCAGGAGAGGCAGACGTGACAGTCGCCGGCCCGATCGGGCAGCCTGATCGAGTGCGTCTTGGCGTCGGAGAGGGAGAAGAAGGAGAGGCGGTTGGTGGTGCGATCATGTTGAAGCAGCAGCCACGGAAGCTGCGGAGGACGGCGACGAGGGTCGACGGCGGCGGACCGCCATGTGGTGCACACCGCGCGGAAGTGGACGTAGTCGGAGACGTCGACGACCAGCAGCTCCGCGATCTGCCGCAGGAGATGCGCCGGCAGCTTAGACCAGTCGACCCCTTTTGTTCGCTTCGTCTGGCAATTCATGGTGAACACATCGCCGACGGCCTTCTTCATGTTCTGATGCCAAGAAATCTTCTCGTCGGATTAAGTATATATATTAGTTATGATTAGATATGATTAGATAGGATTAGATTCTGATTATGGTTATAGAAAAGAAGTCCATGTTAAAATAGATTCCTTAGGAGATAATCTTGATGGGAGGAATTCTCCTAATAACTTATCCTAGACCCTCTGCTCTCGTCTATAAATAGACAGGACCTCTAGGGGCTAAGTGTGCATCTGAGTAGTATCTCAGCAATTGAAAAGATAGGAAGAGAGGAGAAGGATCTAGTTCTTCTCCCCTCCGTGTGAAGGCGGTGGCCGCCCTCACGCATAATGGTGGTGCCCGCAGAAGGCGTCAGCGGAAGGGCAGTGGTCGTAGATGGCGATAGTCGTTGCCCTAGTGGACAGAGGGCAGCGATAGCGGTCGCGCCAAGGTGACGGCCAAGCGCGGCCGGGAACCGCGGCAGCCAAGCGTAGGTAGTGGCGGTGGTCGCACGCTGGCAACAGCCACGCGTGGGCAGGAACCGCTGCAGCAGCAACTCGTGGGCAGAGGCAGCCCCCGCTATCACGGACAAACTTTGAAACAGGGTGTTTGATGTAATGTTTATATATGTCCGTGTCTTTTGGCATGTTCATGCCTTGTACAGAATGTAGAGGGGCGGCCGAAGGCTTAATAGTCCCACTTTAGTTGGGTTGGTGGCCTCTTTAGGCTTGTAA